GCTTGCTGGGTAACTTCTCCAAGGGGGAATGGGAATGTGGAGGGGTGAGGGTGAGGTTGATGCCCAGAGGCATGTTACACACCCAGAAGCATGGAAAACTTTCCTCTCTTTTATCTCCGCCCAAAAGGAATATTATCAGCGCAGGAGAAATAAGGATCTCAGGAATACGAAGAGATGGGGATGATCGGATTTTCACTAAAATGCTATCCATCTCCCCTCCTCCCTCCGAGCCGGAAGGAGTAACATACAGGTAAATAGGGAAATGATGTTTCGTGAGGAAATGCTCCTCTCGTCTCAGACTGTCACGCTGTGAAGTTAGATCCAACAATGAAACACTCCTTGTTACACGAGACACACCCCTCCAAGTGCAAGATTTGCTTGGTCGCGAGGTATTCTTTGCCCAAGAGTCCTAAGATGCCCTTGGGAACATGAGTTGTCCCTTATCGTTATACCCGATGTTCTCGAAACTAGCTTTCAAGGAGAGTGGGGAAGAGACCCGGTCATATCGTCGTTCATGTTTCGACTTGGTCACCGACGACGTCTGCCCTGGGGCTACACCGAGAAGATTCCAATCTTCCCCGTCTCTCGCTTTTCGTGGGAGCGAAGGGAACGCAGGGAACGCTGCGGGTTTTTTTCAAGGACGATGAAAGCAAATGAATGCCGCATGCCTCGCTCCCAATTTCTATCCGGTTATCTAAGAATTTTTTCTTCCATCAATTTGTCTCATTCAACGGTCGTCGAGTGTGGTACCAAGGGAGACGACCGGCGATTCGAACCGCAGTGGTGAGGGTTAACAGATCGGAAAATCCTAACCCCATGGAAAACAGAAATCACGAGTGGATTCCATAGGACGAGAGAGAGAGAAAGAAAGAGAGAGCAGTTCGCATCCACAACGATCGAGTCTCATCCTTCCGTTTTCGCCATCTTATATAAAGAAAGGGCTACGAGCTGATTAAAATTTCGAAAAGACGATTGAATTATGCACAATTTATCGGATTAATACTTTTTGCGGATGGCGGCTCATTACCAGCACCGAGAACTCGGGAAAGCCTCGTGCAGATTGACGTTCCTAAGCACGATCGGGCTTCTCCCCCTCATGAATACCAGCCAACACGAGAGCTGAGGCATCCCCTCCGACCGCATCTGCACACGAGAGCTGAGACATCCCTTTCAATCACATCTGCACACGAGAGCTGAAGCATCCCTTTTGATCACATCTGCACACGAGAGCTGAGGCATCCCTTTTGATCACATCTGCACACGAGAGCTGAGGCATCCCTTTCAACCACGACGGAGAAACATTTGATGGGGTGATGGCCCGGCAGGTGTGATCTAAGGCGACCTCTCCAGAACGGAGATTTCAATTTCAATTTGAATCTCAATCGGAACCAACCCGTGACGTCATCGTGCATGGATCACGTCCTCGTCGAACCTAACGTTTCCGACCCCACCGATCGGGTGCTCATGCTAGTCAAAATTAATATCTTGTTGCACGGCGAAGTCTCATTTCTTCACGCTCGGCCGATCGTAGTAAAGTGAATTCATGCGGGCTACCGAAGGTTCGGTCGATACAGGCCGTGCAGATCCTCGTCAGAAAATTACCTGCGGTGGGAAAAGTCATCTGCTAAAACATACACTAATCGAACGGTTTCATTTGGCAGTTCCTTCGCTTGCCCTTGGAAAACTATCCCCCCAATGTCATTTTACTAAGGCTTTCAAATGCGATAATTGGGCAGACAGACGGCTACAATCTGCCAGATATTTTCACGAGACAGTTGCACGGGCAAAAAGGTACAATTGGAAAAGAGAGGTTGCTTCAACGATTCTTCTTCGAGTCTCCATGATGGATGGAAGAATGCAGCGAATGATTAAAGAAAGAAATTTTGTACGATTTGCATCCGATGAAAAACGTGGTCTCTCGGTTCCCACCCACAAATTCCGCCGAAAAGGAGGAGCCGATATCGCACCGTGTGGAACGCGTCCAGATAAATGAATAGCGAGACTCGATGATGGACGCAAAGTGCATGGGACAATATAATGCATCCGGGGCTTAATGCGTATTTCCTTCAGGCAACATCCAAGGTTAAGCAGTCGCTTGGTGACTCCCGCCCGTCTCGTTTCCCATATTCCAGTAAAAAAAGAAAAAAAAAGAAATTCATATCCTGCTGGCAACGCCAGACTGCTTTTACGTCTTCGTAGCCGCAGCTTCATAAATTTTCGACTGCGAAGAGTTGATTCGGTTTTAATAGACAGCATGGTGCAACGTAATCGAAACCCCCGCGAGGAATACCGGTCTATTTGCAAGATAAAGTGCGAGAAATGGAAAAGCGATACGATGTACGTCGTGTGGCTCGTTCTCCCCGTTTCCCCCTTTTCTTCCTGTCATGATAGCAGTTGAAACCGCTTTCACCGCCACCGGCAACGTCTCATAATGTCAGGTTTTGCTCACCCCATCCGATCGGTGCACGTGGAAGTACCGGTCTCTGTCTGAGACTCGATTCCTTTCTTCGCCCGAGAGAGAGTTTCGCGAGTCTCGAAGGTGTCGAACGAGACCTGAAACAGCTTCTTCCCCGATCCTGGATCTCCAGAGCGATGTCTCGAGCTCCTCCCCCGACGCCTTCCGTCCACTGAGTGAACAGAAGGCGTCCAGCAGGGTGGAAGGTGACCAGTCGGACGGACCGCAGGATCCTCCATAGCAGCTCCAGAGGCCAGCGAGCACACGTGGAGCCACGGAAGCGATTCTTCGCTTCCAGCCGACCGCGAGCAACTCTCTCCACATTCCTTCTCCGTGGTCCAACCTTTTCCGCTGTTTTATTTCATCAGGATCGACTCAAGTATGCCATTCCATCTTTGTTTTTCACTTGCTGATACAAGCTCTTGGTCTGTTCATCATTCCGAACCCTTAGAAGCCACCAACGATCATCCACGTTTACCGGCCATCCAAATGACACGTAGACCCCTTTTCCTTTAAACGAAGTGAGTACTTTATGGGATTTCTATTAGCCATAAACTGTCCCATGCTCATACGAAGTGTAGAGCTCTAACCAGTATTTCTAAAGGCCCTGTTCCACTTGAGTGCTTGCAAGCGAGTGGGCGAGTGTGATATTACATTAAGCGAATATTCGTTGGCGAGTCATTTATTCGCTTAAACTGCCAGCAATATCATGAATGGGGAATTTGCTTTTTTGAGTACCTATGTACAGATGTCGATATATACCGCCTGTGCTATGTAAAAAGAACATAAATATCGGGTCGAGTTGGTGCTAGAGGCGCGTAAGTGCTACTTCGCTCTAATTTTGCATGAGAGCCTCATGAATTATTAGCGCCAATAATGCACTTCGTGTGATAAATAAATAAATGCGATGCCATAAATGGCCATTATGGCAGTTTATGTTCGTCTGATCGTACCGCTCGGAGAGTCCCGAGGACGAATGAAGTGATTTGTATCGACCATCAGGAACTGCTTCGTTATCCTTTCGCCTTGGAATAAATGCGATGCATCGATGACAATCCTTATCGGTCGGTGGATGGTAGGCCGCGATCACGCACTTCTTCAATAGCGTCATTCGACCGGGTCTTCGATTCTCTGCCTTGGTCGTGAAGGAGATTTTCCTCGACCCCAAAGCGAGAAATGACGTCCATGCAGCAATCGTGTACGCTTCAGCCCATCTGACGGCAGACAGAAAGTACTTCATATGAAATTCGATCTACACTTAGATCCCAGGTGCGTTTAATGCTGAGATACACGCAAAACATATTTTCATTATTACGATACTAACTCTATAGGGGGGGTGGGGGGTGGTAGATGCACTTCGACCAGAGTTTGGAGGGCTAGAACCAAACTTGGAGGCTGAAGTCTCCCCCCCCCCCCCTCGCTACGTCAATGACTGGCGTGCACGTGGGGGATAATTTTCTTCATGAGAGTAAACATATCTACTTTCTCGATGTTAGGCTCAACGAATGCAAATAGTTCCACGAAGGTGTCGTGATTCGCTCTCAAAAGAGCACGGAAACGATGGGGATCTTCAGCCTGTAATTCTCGAAAAATATTTTATTCGAAATTCTTTTCTCTCTTCTTGTCAGCCATTGTCGCATCATTTTTCTTTACTCAAAAATGTCCCAGCCAGCGGCAAAGTGGCTCCAGCAATTAACAGATCACTTTCGGAAAACATCCCGATCTCGTCAGGACGAAGGCAGGAGAGAAAATGAGCATACGAAAGGAGTTGTCTGAAAATTCACGAGGTCGCCTCACAGCGTCTAATCACATGCTCATTGGAAATCCACTCGGATGTGAGCTGTCTCTAATGAGCCGACTCCTAGCTTCTGGTGGAGCCTTCTAAAATTGAAATTAGTTTCCAACCCTACTTCACATACATTCGGTCACTCGTTCTTTACGCTATTCGTACATTTCGGCCCTTCGTATATTTGGACTTGAGCACTTCAATGAAACGCAATTTCGGAGTGATATAAAACCTTGGATTCTTGGGAAACGAAGGTCGGGACTGCGAAATTACAGTCTTGGTCATTTTCGGCCTTGCACTAAGCGGTTGCATGTATTAATCTTGTATGATTTCACTTTCACTCGCAACTTTGTTGAAGCATGCAAAAAACTTTCCAGCTTGGTTGAATGCGCGACATCATTTATAATTTCTACAATTTCGATCATCTGTCCATGGCTGCTTGTCTATCCTTCTTGCATCCTCCCAGTGTCTGTATGAGGCTACTAAATGTGCACGTACAAGTTGATATCAAGGGCCGAAAACGGTTTTTGCGTTTGTTCATGACCTTGGTCAAATGTGCAAATGAAGTTGAAATTTGAAGCTTGCCACTGGAAAATCACTTTAAAGCCGCGAAAAACTGACCTCTAGTTCAGTAGTGTCCTCAATTTCATACTTGCCAGATGTCGTTCGGAAAAACCAATATAGTTGGTTGAAACACGGGGTTCACAGAGTGTAGTGTACTCCGGGGACTGACAACACTGGAAAATTTTGCTAGCAGACGACAGACACACGCAGCATGGTGGCATCCATACATGCTGCAGAGTGAACTGGCAAGGGAAAAAATCCAGTTCGTTGTATTTTCAGTTCTCAACTGACGTTCGTCCATGATCACTTCCTTTCTTCGTATTTCATTTCTTCTGGACATTTTTTAAGGCTGCTATCTTCCCTTGTGTCAAGAAAAATAGGGTAGTGCAACTCTGAACGACAGCCTCGAACACAGAGGCCGAGCGGAAAAATGGTAAGCAATTCCCTCGAATGGCCCCCACGAAGTTGAACTTGCCACGAGGCCTATGAATAACTTATGAGAGGGGGAGAGATGGTTTATAGAATTCGGTAGGTCATGACGGCTCTGCTTTCTTTGCTTACATGCTGTCTTTGCTGTCAGCGAACTTGAACCTCTCTTAGGGTCAAGCGGTCTAGTGACTGTCAGCGTAGATCATTGCTTGCGTTTCAGTGATCTTACTCTGGCTCTCACAGATTTACCTTTAACAGGGAGAGAGAGAGTGTGTGTGTGTGTATCCTTTTTTTATTTGAGGGGAAAAGGTAGAAAAAGGGGCCATGATTGGGAATCGTAATGATGGCGACCGTATCACCAAATATGTGGAAGACAACTTCTTTAATTTATCCCATTTTTACTTTCCTGTTTATTATGGTTCTTTTATGTGGTCATTTTCATTTTTTCGGTAAGGGGACAGATTACATGTACGTTTGCATCGATGTATCTCATGTACACATGTTATTTAAGTTTCATCTCATTTTATTAGCAACACAGGTGAAGAACGAAGGCCTATCTGAGGATAGATTAGTATATTTAGGTACCTTCCCTCAGCCTGTTGAGCACCTTAGGTAATTATGTCAATGAATTTAGGAATAGGAAGTTGGAAAATGATTAGTCATGGGTTATCCTGGAAACAAACCAAGTTTGGAATGTCACTGCAGTCTCCATGCCTCTTGGAGAGTCATATCTCCTGACCATAGTTGTGGTTCTTCATGGAAGATGTCAAGTTCCTTTCATCTCGTTGTCAGCTTCAATTGATGCTTAGGAGGCTATGCATTTGCTGAATGTCTGCCATGAATATCAAACAGAGGGCTACATTAAACAATTGAGTGGCAGCAGACTTTATAAATGCTCTTAGTTTCCCATTAATGAGCAATTGAGCAAAATGTAAATAGAGTCTGATACTTTCCCTATCTTACATATATTTAAAGCAATGGAAGGATTCGTATTCATGATCACCCCTAGTTTTGCTGCAAAGATATCAACCATGCATTGAGTTGAAATTATCTACTGATTACATAGGTGGAGTTAAGACTTTATTTCATCTCATCATATAGCTCTGAAGTAATACTTTCTTGATTTAGGAATCAGAGGTTTTCTTGACCATGACATTTATTCAAAGGGGCATAGAAATGTTCTGTTTTGAATGCATTGAATACTACTGGCCTTATGTAGTTTTACTGAATTATCACATGAATTTATGAATTACCCTTGAATTGTAACTTCTTATTTGTGAAACTGAGCATGTACCTACCATGGAGGAATTCTCAAATAGTAACTGAACTCTTACTCCCTTCACTCATTTTTCCCTCCTGCTTTGAATAAAAATTAAAAGCTGAATCAACTCTTTCACTTAATGGAAGCAATGTTGCAACAGGTATCTCAATCCTATTGACTTCATTTTTCAGAATTAATTATTTCAAAATTAATTCAATTGCTCAATTTTTCTTTTGTGCAGTGCCAAGATGAGATCTTTGAAAGCAATTTCATCATGTTAGGGGGTTTCATCCATGGAGAGTAAATGTGATGCATACATCAGCTTCATGCATCAGGCTGATGCATGCACCAAGTTGATGCATGGTAAGCATCCTAGTTACCCTACATCAATGAAACATCCAAACAGCTTGTTGAAATTGCCACCAGAGATAACATCTTGACACTGACTCATGGTTGAATTTTCAACAATGCCCCTATAGGGAAGCAGCTTGAAAGAAGGAAAAAATGAAACTGGCACCTTCAATGGTGCCACTCTTCTCCCCAATTCTACCAGCATTTAGCAGATTTTCTTCAAATTGCTTCATCTCATGATCTTGAAACTTTGCTCAATTTTTCTGCACATCATTAGGAGTTTTCCTACCATGTTTTGTCAGTAAAAAACCATGTAGGTAACCGTTTTGGATGACTAGTATGACCCCATAACTGCTGTTGAAATTGGATTAAATAGTGTTATCTCCATCAATATTCACCCCACACACTTGAAATTCTAATCGGTTTCATAGTATGCTAGTATGAGCTTGTGTACCAAATTTCATCAAGATCACTCAACTCCTACTTGGTCATGCGTTTTTTTTTTGGCGATGAGTATATGATGTAAAGGATTTTTTTCTTGGGTTAGCACTTCATATCAAAGCATCAAAATCCTAGTCACATGAATGGTTTGAGATTGATTCTGGTTCTCCCCTTCTCCCTCTGCCAAATAATCAGTCACATAAAAAATAATAGATATTTATAGATACATATGATAATAGATAAGTTACAGTAAAAGATAAGTTACAATAATATAACCCCCTGACCCAATAGCATGTTGAGTGACCATCCACTGGAGTTACAGTTGAACAGCCAAAGTTATTCATTTTTATGCCTGGAAAAGGTCATCATGTGATGTTACAAGATCGATCTATTTTGTAATGCCTTCATATAGGGAGCATCCATTTTGCTTAACTAGCATTTTACTAGCATTAGTACATATCTATGGAGCTGCATCTTCAAAATTTTTTTTTGTACTGGAATTTCTCATTGTGACAAAGTTTGACCTGTATTAACAGTCAAGGAAGAAGGAATAATGTTAATTTGAGAAAGTGCAAGACATGAAGTACCCTTATGGATTGATATTTATGCCTGATCTAAGCATGATCAAATCATTCCATAAGTGAGGTGCCTGTACTCCTTCAAAAATTCAAGAGGAATACAACAACTCAACAAAATTTTCTCCATGTTCACAATTTAAAACAAGCCTTTGGAAATGTCAATAAATGATATGAATTGCAAGGGACATCTGCAGAATGGGAATTCCCAAGTGTATTGAGCTCTATCTTGTACTGTCCTTTTTTGAGAGAAGCAAAGAGCCAAGGTTCAAATGTCTTCACTCTCCCTTTTTCTAGCTAGGTTTGTTCAATTTCCAGTCTCTGCTTACCATTATCCTGCTGTTGATTTGTACCTGCACCTACATACATCACCTATGGCCATCACTCCTTGACAGGAACAAAACTGGGTGAGTGTGTTTTCATCTTTGTTCAATAACTGCTCCTGTAAACATGTAAATTTTCCATTGTATCAGTACAGGAAAATGACCCTAATAATGAAAACAAGTACTCAATGAAGACAATGGGAGGGCTAGAAAAAAAAATGGCTATGATCACATTTTCCTGGCACTTTTGTCTTTGTGGCTATGAATTTTTGTGGCATGTGAAGAAGATAGGCAAGGATTAGTTAATAATTAATAATTTATTTTGAAAGAAGTGTGAGATTTAAAAAAAGGAAAAGTATGTTGGATAAAACATGTGAGTGAGAGGATGGCCTAGTTTATGGAAATAAATGGCACCATGAACTAAATTCGCATTGCCACTAGGAGCGGTGGATGAATTCACTTCACATCTATGCTGGTGAGGCCATCTCAGAGGGTCCTCACTGTGCTTGTTATGTGGCTAGCTGAATGAAAGTTGAAGTTGTAAAATTGGCAAGTGTACAACCATTCCATCTCTGTAGATTGCTGCTACCTCTGGCCCCTGTAATAGGTTTAAAAAATGCAGAGTTTCCAGAAGGTTTCTCTGTCATGCTGCCAATCTAAGTATAACTTCTTTCTTCAGAAGACATTTAGCATTTCTGCATGCTGCTTNACGCAAGCAATGATCTACGCTGACAGTCACTAGACCGCTTGACCCTAAGAGAGGTTCAAGTTCGCTGACAGCAAAGACAGCATGTAAGCAAAGAAAGCAGAGCCGTCATGACCTACCGAATTCTATAAACCATCTCCCCCCCTCCTCCTCTAGTATGAATATAAATAAGAATGGATGGCAGCAGTTAATGGCTATTTCTTGTGGGATGAAAAAGAAACAGAATAGACAATGGAACTTGATATTGAAATTTCCACTGCCATTTATGGCAACCAGTGTTGCCAATATGGGAATATTCTTCACTCAGTTAGTGAAGTACCCCAATTTTTCACTTTTGGAGCTGTTGAATGCACTCCATGAGGATATTGCTGGGAAATGCTTTTCTGAATGCTCATCCATGCTGTGTTAGGGATGAGTCACCTCTTCCTTCTGCTCATCTTGTTCAAATCTGCCAGTCATTTGGCAGAGCAGAGGAGAGAGTAGTACCTGCAAATTTAATAGAGGGAAGTGATTAACTTGGGGACCTTTTGTCCCTATTTGTGAATAGTAGATCACAATTATAAACAATTTTGTGTACTGCTATTGAACCTTCTAGAATTGCAGTCTGCATTCAAGAACTTTTATTTTCCAATAATAAAGAAATATTGCCAGGTGGTGCTATGATGCTGAAAGGTTATTTCATATTTTGCATATTTATGTACAAAGAATTTGAATGTCCATAACCTCAAACCATTAACATTACATAGTAAATCATTATCAACCCGATCACATGCCACAGAAATTCATTGGAACTCATGAAAAGGTAAGTGCTTGAAAAATGTGAAATAGCCAAAATAGATTTAAGGATCTAGAAAATTTCCCCTGAGTTCATGTTCAAAACTGGTTGTAAGTGTAAGTTGCTTAGAAAATTAAAATGCATTTATATAAGTCAGTACCTAGTTTGTATAATATTACTAGAGACTCTGGAGTGTTCATGCACATGATGTAGATTTCATTCCATAATATTATACTTGCCTCTTCAAGGGTTATGGGGACGTTTTGGAAGTGTGCACGGATAGGTGAAAGGAAATCGCCATACATCTCTGCTTGCTGCCTTGCAATGGCAATAGCCATGGTGTTTTGGACTTGATTGTGATTTTTCTTTTACTCTCCTTCTACTCTTCCATCTTATGATAATTGTCCTCACAAGAAGGGTGTCATTATGAATAAATGAAATGGAACATTCCATTGTGATCCCCATGTGTCTATTTTCTTTTCTTTTGTGATACCATGAGGAACTCCATGTATATGAGAATATCAGCATTAAATTATTATCAAAAAGGATGGTCATGCTTTCCTTAGAGTGCTAATTTGTTGGGTGTTATTTCTTCTTTAGATTGACTATTAGCATATTTGGCATTCATATAAGAGGTAATAAAGTTACAGGACTCTCAAAAGTATTTTTTGAGTCTTGGGAATGCACGAGCAACACTTTTTGCTTTCTGGTTTTGATTTGACTTTTAAAAATTAATTTTGAATGGACTTTCACCTTGGGCAAAGGAGAGTAAAAATTTCTTAGAGCACCTCAAAAAAGCACAAACTCTACATGGAAGTGGTCAATTGAGCCATAGCCAAAGAACCTTAGAGGCATTAGACATTTTTTCATGGTGCTCTGATCTTCCTATATAGTTTTATCATATTCCTCACTCATTTTTGCCTAGTATGGCAGTTTTTTAAATGGACTCTTCAGAATGTCAAATGAAACCAGATAGCAATAAATTTTGGCTACTAGACCCAACACAAGTTATATATGTGAATTGAGGTCTATATATCAGAATGTATAGGGTGGCCCAAAAAAAAAGGACAGTTTTCAACAATACACAACTCTTCACACACTGCACATGTTTTACTTCTTATTCATTCCTCTTCCAAATGTCACGAACCCCATTAAAATGATGTATTTACCTTTTGAATATCATTGGCAGTTTCAGAAATTCAGGAGCTCATATGAACAACAAACAAAACTGAGTTGCTGTGCTCTCAGAGAGAGATGGCATGTGACTTTCAGTCATGAAGGCTGCCACCTGTCCATCCCTGCCCTTTCCTGAGGCAATGTAATTTTTTCTCGCTGTTTATGTGAGTTCCCAAATTTCTGAAACTGTAGATATTTGAAATATAAATGCACCACTGTGAAGCTCATTCATTTCTTTCAAATGCTGCAAACTGCATTAAAATATATGCAGAGGACAGTTGAGCATATAATTGAAAAATGAATGGGTTTCTTTGGCCCACCTTGTATATAAGAATGAAGGGCTTACATAATGCTATGACATCCCTGGTGCTCTTAAAAGCATGAATCTTTTCAAGTGCACAGATGGTTAAAAAACACTTTAATTATAAAAGTACCTGGATTTTTCAATATTCCTGAGCTTGAAAACCAGGCTTTTCCTTCATTGTTCAGAGGCTATGATTGTGATATGGCAAATTGCTAAAATCACCATGTTCAGATAAAACTTAAAAGGTGTTTGCCTTAGAGTTGGCATGTTATATAGCATTTTATAGCATAAAAGTATTTGCCTAAAATAAAAAAGGGGTTAGGGAAGGAAGCATGGGCCCTGAGTGCATAAGTTTTAGGGAGTACTTTTTGCTCTGCTTGAAGGACCATTGTACTGATGAAATCCATTATGTAAGGGGGCTGTCAAGATATTTCTGGATTTTTCACTAGGTTTCTCTGGAGCAGCTCAATAAAAGCCCATTCCAAAAAAAAAAGTACAGTACTCATGAAGGAAAGATGCATGGGTTTACCCAAAAGGATTTCACAGCACTCAGCCTTCCTTTAATATTGTGTATTAGAAGGCAGTATTCAAAGTTGAGCAAAAGCAAAATGAGGAGGTTGCTGAGGCTGGAGAGAGCTGCCAACATTGCTCAAGAGCAATATATTTCATGTACTGGCTGACACTTGGATTTTGACTGGATTTCTCATTAACATTACTGTATTTCATATACTCAACCTTGACAGCATTCCCAAGTTATCAGTGGTATTCTATGTGTTCCCACTGATTTAGTACTGTTGGTTACATTAACTACTATAGCTGTCCACCAATGTTAATGCAGTTTTAAAAGCTTGTTAATGAAAGTTTTATTTGAAAGTCTACTAGCAAAGAAAACTTTCATGGTCTGGATACCTATGAAAGCTTTACATGCAAGATTTTCAATGCTCTTGAAGCTTTTTTTGAGTTTTCTTTCAAAATGTTTAATTTTGCTATATTCTTTCATTGTCTATGTGTTTCCCAAACGGTTTGCCACCAGTAAGACCTAATTGTGTCACGAGACATGAGAGTTGACCAAAAAAAACTTTACAGGTTGGCTGCCATGAGGCGTACAGGTGTGCCTCACTGAATGGGAAAATCAATAGGCCAGCATTTCTGTGGCGGTCAACATGTTAAAAACAAGAGGGAACGCCATCTCTCGGTGGAAAATGAGCTGAGAGTTGCACTATCATGCCTCTTATCTAACTGCTGTGTTCGGTGAAGCAAGCACAAGTTTCCCATTGAAAGTAAGTAAAGTGGCTGGGTGTGCCATGGAAAGTTCAAGTGTCCTTATGTGTGCCACAAATAAAAAAAGATTGAGAACCACTGATTTATGTAATAAGATTTGTAATGAGATGAATAGCTTTCATTAGCTGACACATAGTCAGAGTCACTTTATCACTTCTCAAGACATCATCATGATGTCATGTACTGCATGTGTTATGTCTAACTTTCCTAGAAAACTGCCCACTGCAGGATTTAGCATTTCCAGCTCGACTTTCTGTATTTCTTTAAGGGTATAACAGTTATATCTGAAAGACCCTAGTGCATCATCAATGAAGCCCTGAATAATAGTAAAGTGCAAATGATCCCATTCCAATAGGTCATTATTTAGGGAGAACAGGGAGAACATAAATCATTTTTGCACTGAACTTCAACAAAGGCAATCTCAATAATCACCCAAATACTTTTAGAGAGAATTAACATGTTTGCTGCTAATGATGCAAGTGTGTATTTAAAAAAAATATCACTCATCAGGAACAAACACATTAAAGCTTTTCAGACCCCTTTTTTTCTTCAAAATAATAATGCTTGAACACTTCTGAATAACGTATGATGCTCAGCCACTAATGGGTGATTCTAAACCAAGGTTATGGTAAAAACATACCTTTTTTTCCCTTTGGAAGGTGACTCCTCGGCAAAATCTCTTCTGCTTCAACCATTTCTTGCAAGAAAAAACAACTTTGGATGTCTGTTATCAAGAAAGACGCTTTATACTCCTTATCCTCATAATGGAGCACATATACAAGGGGAATGTGAGTAACTTGAAGAAATAGTCTGTTTGGACAGACAAGTGCATACATGATTATGTTGGCCACCCCAACTGCTGTAGCTTATTACCATGTGCAATGGCAACACTTCACAATAAAAAACAAAAAATGAACAACATGTTTTGCAATACCGAAATGACTAACCACTAAATCTCCACGGGTTGGCTTCACAGGTCCCCATTAATACTTTGGTAAAGTTTTATTTCTCACGCAATAGAGTATTTTATATGCAGACAAAAGCCACTCCCTGACCTTTAAAACTATATATTATATCTACTAAGCCTAGATATTATCTGCTGACTCTTCCAGTGCTGATCTTATAGCTTATCCTTCAAAGCTGAGGTGATACACATATGCAGAAATTGGAACAATATAAATGTTTCTTTTTGATATCATGGTGCATTGTGTCCTCATAAATCTGAACCATCAACTATGGAACAGTGTAGTCAAGGGTGCAACTACATGAAATGCTGCAGGGCTTGGCAAAACCTTTGATACATTGCTGCTCTCGTACATCTCTGCAGAAAATCAAAAGATTCCCTGAAAATTCTCTTTCATTACATGAGTAGAACTGATTGCTGTGACTTAGGTAAAAGAGATGAAAAGGCATCAACAGAATAGCAAGAACACTTCCCTTTGAAGATTTCTCTGGGAGATAGATTTTATCAATGGATGATCCCCATGTGAGAGGCAGTCAAGCAAGAATACATTGATATTCTTATGGTATGCCAATGCAAACAGAGTGGTGATGAGTTTAAAATGTGACAATAGAAGCTTTTGGTATTGATGAGAGGTAATCATGCAGTCATATCACACAAGAGGAATGAAGATACAATAGAGAATGGGAACCCAGAATGAGACCCTCTCTCTTTAGGTGAGATTCATGGCAGCCCCATTGGTCAGGACTTCCTTCTCATCTGATTCTTCATCTTCACTCTTTGTGTGATACCATGCTTCAACGAAGGAACATACAAATTCCTTAACTATGGACCGATCAGGAATTTCTTGAGATACACCATACATCACACCCTGTAAAAAAGATCCATCATGAACTGACATCAAACATTATTTCAAGACGTCTATATTTGGAATTACCAATTCTCAACACAACCATTCATCCAATGATGAACCACATAATTCTCCAGCCAAGCAATGACAAGGAATTATGTGTTACACAGCCCTGGGCAAGGCTGTTTTATCCTTTCACTGGCACTGAAAAATTGTAAGTATTATTGAGCTAAATTCAGCCATGTTTGATGAAAAGTGCTTACTTGCAGTTTTCATTGTTATTTTAGTTTTTACAAAAAAAATTATTTAACTAAGTTTTGCTTATACCTTGGAGATAATAATATAGCCCAGCTCAAGAAATTTCAATCTGTAATTGCCAGTGAAATAAAAATATTAGGCAGCATGTCCTTACTGGTCCACATGGACCAGTTGGGAGAGGAATCAGCTGATTGACCAATGTCAACACTGTAGCTTCCTTTGTAGCTCTCATCGCTATTTCCTTAAAAACAGCAGTAAATGTGTGAAATCAATCATAAATCATCGGTCACTACCACTGTCCATTGTTAGCTCATGGACAATATCCTGAGCACTCAGACAAGCTTTCCCTTTGATACCATTTTTGTTTTTGGTATTATTGCTAGGTATAGATTATGTCAAGTTTTAAATCAATTGCAGGTTTGGCAGGTTCCTTGAAACCTCCATGTGCTTCAAGTGCTAGAGGTTGACCTGTTCCTTGACAGATGGCAGAGGCTGTAATATCTGCTTGCATATGCCAGAGCAACTTAGGATTCAGTTGAAGGGTTAATATAATGATCTAGATCTAGTCAAACTGCTTATGTAGTAGTGTGTTTTTACCCAGTTTTTAAATAGGTTTTCTCTCTCCTTGCCCTTCCCACTCCCTCTGCCAATTTCAGCTTGCAAATAAATGTCTTTCTATAAATGTATTGCAACAATAAGCTAAAATTTCAAAATTGAGAAGTGAAGTTGTAGCAGTCCAAAAGTAACAAAGCACTAGTTTAACATCATGGCCTAAGGCTGCTATTGGGGTGACCAGCCACCAAGAAATATGAGGAATGTTTGGATTTTGACTCATTGTGGACATTCTTCATATATAGCTCCAGAACGAAGTCTGAAAATTTAAATTAATTTGCATGGCTAAATGTGTAGTTCTTCAAAGAAGACAGGATCACTACACAGCAACAATGTGGGTGGACTCACAGCTCCTTCCTTGACCTGCTGAGGGTCCTTAATGAGTTGAGCAGCAATCTCAGCTGCATCAGCCAGGAACTGGTCAGCCACACCCTCCATGCAGTGTGCCTTGGTCACACACAGGTGCACCCTGCAACAACCAATGTCCTCCCATAATTAATATACTGAGTGGTTTGAAAAGGATAATTCTTATGCATTTTATCTGTCATAACCCAATAGACCACAGGTAAATGGTATGTCCATGTTTCAAGATTTGAGAAAGGATTTCAGGAGGCATCACCACCCATTATAACATCCCAGATCAAGGTCAAACATTTATTTAAAAATATGACTGGCCTATCCATTTTAAAAATACATATTCACGTGGAAGCACCTTGATCTATTGTCTAGTTTCTGAATGCTACTTTGCTCCCTTTTAAAAATTATTTTTCCATGAAGGCATTTAGCCTTTTCTTAAAACTTGTCATGGATGGGGCAGCCACTACATGATTGTCTAACACATTACATGCATTAACCATCCTCTAAGTGAAAACTTATTCCATGACATGAGTCTCACTAGAGACGTTTGCAACTTAAACTGATTCCCCCCACGTTCAGCTTTTACCATCCAGTAGGAAAAATTTATAAGGGATCATTATCCCTTAACACCTTCAGTCCCAGGGATTTAAATGGCTTAAACCTGTCATATGACAGGTATGGGACTGAAAGTATTAATCCTTTGAGGCACACAATTTGATTTCAAAGTTTAACATGACTTTAATTAAATGTAGCTGTAGCTAAGTCATGTTCTTCCCTTTCATGCAAAGAGTTCAGGAAGTGAAATGCTAGATGGCTTATGAAACTACTCTAGACAGGACCGGATGAAGAAGTTGCAAGGCCCGGGGCAAGTGAATTCCTGGGGCTCCCCCCTTCTACTTTACACAAATACAATACTTTTTTTAACTTAATGTTTTCAATTTCCTTTGGGGGCCCAGGGCAACTGCCCCATTTGTCCCCCCCTTAATCTGGCTCTGACTCTAGAGGAGTGGTCACAAGTCTTGACCCCCCCTTCCTCAGGCTCAAGAGCACAATAAAAAGGTGGTTAAATGTTCTGACCACTCTGACTGAAAGTCAGAGTGGTTAAGTCCCTCTCCCTGTTTGCTTCCTCAAATTTATCTTTTCAGCTTTGGAGACCTATTATCATTATTATGATGGTTGTGAAGGATCTTACATTTAAACATCATTAGCCATTTTTTCCTCCACTCACCAAAAAGCTCCAAATCTCTTTTTGCTTTAGCCATCTTCCTACCCATTCATGATGAAACCTTTTTTCATGTCATCTGCAAATTTAATTGCCATACCTGTATTGGTGTGAATGGCATGATCAGACATGTAGGCATTCGATGGGGCCACCGGCACCATTGCCTCCAACTGTGGAATGACATGATAGATGACAGAATATAATTGGCCAGATGACTACGGGATTTGGTGCCATATGCATTCTTTGAGCTCCACTAAGTTCACAGGATGGCCACTGTAATCTTTGGACTTAAAACATCTCCCATTGTGCGGAAGGGCCCCATCCCATCTCTTCTCCAACGTACGTTCCAGGATCGTGTAATCAGCAGGTCCTTCCCACAGGCCTGGCTGCCAAGGTCACTGGATCATGTACCTGTGGACTTCTGGCTGTGGAATTTCCTGGAAGTCTAAGGTTTATAGTGAGCATCCTGTTAACACAGTGGAGCTTAAGGAATGTATAGAGCACCTAATCCTGTCACTGTCATCTGACCAATTACATTCTACTGCCTATCACCATTACACAGATGGAGGCGGTGATGGAGGAAGCTGGTGGTCACATTGAATACCTAAAGGTCTAATCTTGCCATTCATGCTGATACAGGTATGTGTCTTGACTTTGGACCGTGTCTCTGGCTGGTACAGCATTGCCTTGGAGGCAATATTCAGAAACTTTTTGGAAACTTTGCTGTCATCCACCACTGTACATGGCAAATATGAAGTTTCTAGGCCACTCCATAATGGAGATAGGGCCTTTGGAAGTAGGGAAGTAACTTTCGGGCACCCTGTATTTATGTAGGTCTGGACTTTAGTGCCTGCCTATCAAAAGCCAGGAGGTTGAAACGAGCATGGAGACATACGCAGAAGGTGACTGGAGGTTGCTGAGGGCCCAGCCTCTTTGGAACATGCCATCAGAGAAGCGGTAGATGCTGAAGGTGTCAGACATAATGCTCACAATTGACACTTCTGGTGGTCCCAGTGTCTTCAGCCCAGGGATCTTCTTCACACTTCATTCATGACACAAGAAAACATATAACAATAAATTCCTGTTAGACCTTGTCTCACATTTGGTGTCATAACCATCTCCATTCCTTCTCATTAACATAGACTGCATCACATCATGAGATATATAATCTTAAGATATATTACAATGTCAAACACAAATTTTATTTTAAAATGCAAAGAACAAAATGTCAGTATTATTAGAATAATGCATGAAAATATTCTATTAAAATATTCAATTTGAATTTTCTTTTTGCTCTTTGTGTTTTCTACCTTGGGTGGCTTTTTTCCACTTCTGAGATGGGAATTTATTTCTGATATACATCAAGATTAGCATTCATTACAATCATGGCAATAGGATACGTGAGATACAAAAAATAAAAGTCTGTTTTTGGAATAGGTCTGGAGACCTGCTTTAGAAGGAAATATGAAAAAAAAAAACAATTGACCAAAACCTTCCTGGATAAGAATCCATGGGGGTACATGGGGAAAATTAAATGCAAGGACAATAAAAAGTGAAGAGCTCATGAACTGGTAACTCATGTGATAGAGGTATGGCTCAATATTTTGGAGACACAAAGATCCCTCCATCAGAAATGAAAAAAAATAGCAGGATTTTTTAAGCAAATAGATTTGTATCTTCTAACATAACCTATTCTCTTTACTTTCCCAAAAGCTGAATATCTACCTTTTCATTACCTTACCCAGACTTTGTATCCAATCCATACCCCCTTGGTTTGCACCATGGACTGAAGGAATGCAGGCTGAAGAAAGGATAGACTCACTTGGCTTCAATATATCTTGCCTTGCTGATGATATTCCTTGTTGCCTGAACATATCCATCATAGCCCATGTGAAGTAGCCCTGCCCAGGATGCTGCTGTCATTCCTACATCATAAACACATCAATAGCATCATCCCTCTATCACCTATGTATTGCAATATGCATAATTTTGGAGGGTAGCCTTACATGCTATCTGTGAACAAAGGAGAGGAACTCTCTGAGGTAAAACTCACCATTACCAGCTAAGCCCATGGAAAGGACCTGAACAAATAAATACTACATTCCCTCTAGTTGCTCCTTCAACACTGATTATCTCATGAGTTGAGTTGCTTTTTTATGAAGACAGGTAACATGAAGCATAAGGGTTTCAATTGATCAACTTTGCTTTCTCTTTTCACTGTTTTTGAGATGTTGATTTTATATAGAAATGTACAGGGTGCATAAAACCTTAGCTGCACTTCCCCCCATGTAGCTCAGCCATGTGATGGCAAAGCAAATCAGCCTTCATTCTGAATTAGGTATTCAATTCCACATTTATAGACTGAATCTGTCTTGTATCTACCTACTACAGACCTGGGTGATGGCTTGATGGTCAGAAACTGAGTAACAGCCTTTGCTTCATGCCTTGCCAAAATAGTGAGCACATCAGCATGCAAACTCTAGCTTCTTATTCAATGCATCATCATTCAGTCTAGCCCAGTCCAGCTGAGGAGACTGCAAACAGGCTAATTCATTTGACATTGCTCTAAAAAAAATGGCTGTTACTTGGGTTCTGAGACCCATTTTCATTAAAATTTGTATACTATTCCCTACATGTTAGATAAAACACCCAGTAAATTTCCTCATGTGGTATTTCATCTACAGCTGTGCAAAGTTGAGATCTTTTATTGGGCTACTGGGTATTTCATATTCAATTCCAGAATTAAACTGGAGTCATTCATCCATGAGGTACAACATAAGTTTAATTTTCCCTGGAAAATATGACTTCATAATCTATAAGAACTTATGTTAGTCGTTCTCTTGACAGTGGAAATCACATTCCTAACTGCAGCTTGTTCTGATAATTCCTGCAAAAATGACAGAGAACTCAGAGCAGTGGCACCAGTTCCTTGCACCACATGGTGCCCTCTAGGACTGAGTGCAGGAAAGTATGAGTTTAAAATAAAATCTTTTTTTTTGTTTTAAGGCACATTCACAAATGAAGCCCCTCGTGAGATGTCAATGGTTTTTATTTTTTTAATATAATCCTCAAAGTTTTAGAATGATTTAATGCTTTTTTTTTATCCAGACTCCTACTAAGATGATCCTCATGAAGTCCAACCTTATTCAGCAATTTTTCAAAGTCAAATACTTTGGGTTCAAGCTCTGCTTGGCTAACAAATTACATGCCAAACAGACAACAATATTTGAGTGCTGGTATTTAGCAATTTCTGCATTCAGCAATTTCATGCTCAGAGCACTTGACTATCAGTATCTGCTGAAAGAGGTCTCCCCTCCAGTGGCTCATTACTTCTCCTACTACAAGGATTCTCAACCTATCCAAAATTCATTAAATCAGCATTGACTGTTCCTAATGCTTGGAGTATTATCCATACAGAATTGCCATCTGCTGATGGAGTTCATCAGTGTGTGAATTTTGGATTTATTTTGGAACAACAGAAAAGGATGACTTTAAGTTCACCCCATCTCTTACACTCAGCATCAATAAGCACCAGCTGGTGTGAAGTGCTGGCACCTCTTATGAGTCTCCTCGTTCCAAATTGTCTCCCATTCTGATAACTTGCCAGTAATCAGAATTGGTGACAAATTGGAATTAGACCTTCACAGAATTAATAGTTTAAGTTACACAAGTTTTAAGTTTATGGGATTGACAACAATTTTGGATCGTCACACACGACCTGTGTGTCATCATATATTATCAACTACCTCACTCTCTAAGGTGCTGATCTTCAAATAAATTTGCTTTGCAGAGATCAAGCATAACTCACAACCTGAATCAAATCATACTTTAGAAGAGGATTGCAGGAAAACTTGGGAATCCATTTCCCTGAATAGGCAGCTTATTTTGTGGATTATTTTTGCATCAGTTTCCCTGACCAATATGTGTGTTTTCATAAACAGCCATCCCTTTTATCATACCATCATCAACTTGCTTTCCCTTCTTTTCAAACAACAGTTGCTTGACCCTTTCACTGCGAAAGGCAACTTCAGTTGTCCACAGTTCCATTACCTCCTCAAAATTAATGCAGCAAAAGGGTTAAACTTTTACATGTTCCATGATTGTTAAACTCCATTTCCTTTTCCTTGATTTTTTTAGACTTGCCATGTCTGTGGGAACCCTGTTAAAGATCCCACTGTCATAGTGTAAAGAGGACTTGGATTAGAGTGATCTCACCACCAGGCCTGGATCCAGCAAGGGTAGGAGTGGCATATGCACCACCCTGCCAGTCTGCATTGACATAGATCTGATGTTGCAGATATATGGGCTCAGAGTACATCACAGTTGAGCTCCCCTTGATGCAATATCCATACTAGGAGGATCAAGACAAAAGAGACACAATCACGATCATTTTCAAGTAGAGATAAGCAGTGAGAGTTGCATAGGTTTAAACTTTGAAATAAATTGGCAAATTTATGAACAATGATAAACACTAGAAATTCAAGTTCACACTGTACATATGAAGTTCGGACATGACTCAAGATAGATATGAATCAAATGGTAAAGGAACAAAAATACTATTTACTGATTAGTCTCAATCACCACTTACCATTCATTGTTATTTCACCACTACATATGATATTGTATAATGTGAATCAAGGAATGCAAACCATGGAGGGCTCTACTTGCACTATTGGAACTCAGACCTTGTGCGTGTCAGCTGAAATGCTGGTGACACCCTTGACACGAAAGTCAAAGGGAGGAAAGGGGAACCCGGCATCCTCCATGAAAGCAATTAGGAATCCTCCAAGGCAACCATCCACATGAACAGGAATCCCCCGTGATGCCCCCAGCCTTGCTATCTCCTCAATGGGATCCATGACCCCATGAGGAAAACCCGGGGCAGATCCCACCAACTGCATCACAAAAGAAATAACCTCTCTCTTTCTTATTCAACTACCAAAGTCCATGGTATCTGTTGCATTGTTTGGAGATATCTTTTAGAAATAAGGAATTCTTATCAAACAATGTTTGAATTAAGGAACTCTTTTTGAACTGTATTTAGATTAGTGATGGGACAGACTATTTATTGGGTCACTTTACTATCATTGACATCATCATTCAAATCAGTAATTGTATGGTTCTCAGAACTATTGCACTATGGCTCTTATGGCTGAAGAATGAATTACAAGTTCTACTTCAAATTATACTTGAGCAATCTACTTATTTTCTGTGTTGTGGCAACTGCTTGGCATGACAACACTACGTTCATTCTAATACCACCTTGCATGTGAGGAGGCCTAGCCTGCTGTTTAAAATCTTGCAACTATACTAACTTACAAGGCTAAGGTACAACCTTAGAACTTTTGGTTGAACATAAGGTATTAGAGACCTAAATAACAGAGAAGGTCTAAACTATGAAATGTGAATCCCAATGCCTTGGTCAATAAATGCATGGTACTCATGGAACAGTCTACTTGTCCTCTCTAAAGCTAAATACCAGTCATATTCCAACATATGCAATGTACATACCAAAGTCAATCTTGAAAAAGTCAGAGTTGCAACTTGTGAGTCCTAATATCAAAATGGAGGGCAAACTAGTGGAGGAAAAAACCACACTAGAATAGGACTTATTGACCTAAATGACCATCACTGCAGGTCAATTTATGCAGGATGCAGAGCCTGCAGGTCAGATGTCTGTTTTTAACACATTCCCTGCAAGATTTTTAAACTGGGATTGTCACTAGACTGCCAGCATCTTTTGGCGTCTGCATAAATGTGCGCACTGTTTTATAAAAACAAACTTTTAAAAAAATCACATGAATAAATTTATTACAAGGTAGACTCTAAATATGTATACCACATGTAACTTTTCTATTTCTGTATGCCTAAAAATATCAAAAAAAGATTTGATATCTACAGAGTGTTCCATAAGTCTGAAACAATAGGCACACATTTATGCGACACTGTATGTCAGCTTTGGTATGTCTTTGTCTTTGTCTCAGTATGTCTTTGGTGGCCAATCTTCAGTGCTTCAGCTGGACTTCTCAGAGTCATATGGCTTGATGTTCCAAACATTCTCTAGCTGACCATGTAGCAGAAATTATTTTTAAAAAAGCACAAACAGATGCCTTACAACTCTGACTATAATCCAATATTTACTGTAATTGGAGTCTCCTCAAAGTAAATATCCAATAACGAAAACCAGTGACCTAATCAGCTGAGGCTGGCACTGAAAGAGGAGTGGGACTACCTCGTATATCCATCTAGTGTAATCAACCAGCAGACTCAAATATTGCAGGTCAAGGAGAATAGGAACACATAAAAAATATTTTGTGAATAGTTACAGTGAGTCTTTGTGCATTCTTGAGATTCAATTGAGAAATTAATAGCACAGGAAATACTATTTTCTAAATACTAAATAATGTTTATGGTCAACGATGAAGAGTTTAAATCTGAAATTTCCAATAATTACTCAGTACATCTTGAGGGTGTGAAACCATGTGTAATGCAATAGCATTCCCCACAGAACTAACAAAAATAGGGGGTTCACTTTTCTTGTTGAGGTGCATGCATGACTCGGCAACGCCTTGTGGACATTTTGTCCTTTTCTTTGAGTGGGATGTACCTGCACCACCTTCAACTTTTTCATCCTAATCAGGTGAGGAGTCTGTCATATTCTGGAACAAATTCAATATCAGCATCTGTATCATTTAAAAGCTTTTTCTCTATGTATTCCTCTCTCAAGCATCCCGAGCACATGGCTGCAACTTGTGGCTCATCTGCAGTAGCTGATAAACAGTGTGGGCTTGCTTGTAAGTAACTGGAGGAGTGGAAAATTTTGAAGCAATAATGTAAGTGCCAGATGGTGTCTGAGAAGAACCCTGCATCACCTTCCGCATCGTCTCTGGGCACTTTGTGGGGTTATTTGTGAATGACATTTCAAATTGACCTTAGTCAACAATGGCATTCTTAGTAGTAGTTTTGTAAATCAACCATAGCTGACTTTGGCAGTGAATGTGTCAATGAACTGGTCAATTACCCATTCCAATTTTGACTACAATTTCTCACAATGGTGTTTGAATTCAGTAAATCTACTCAAACTTCCCTCCACTCACACTGCAAAGCAATATTTATTTTTCCATTCAGGTGAAAATGGTGTTTCAAGTATTGAAAATCACCTGGATAAGTCATTTACATCTCCAACATAACTTGGCACCTCTCCCAGACCTGGTATGGTTCTGTTGTAGCTGCATTAGAAAGAGACTACTAACGGACATGACAAAGCCAATTGTCAAAATTTGTGTTCCTTGTACTGATTATGTGTGAAGTGAGACAGACAAGCCATAATGCCTCTGCTCCTAAAATGAATATATTGAATCAATAGAATCAATTGAATCAATAGAAAGAAATCCAAAGACTCTGGCAGTGCCATGTGATGTGGACTATGATATCTATATAGACCTGAGCCTCAAGACAAGCAGTTCCCCTGCACAGAGGCACAGCAAGCTTCTCTGCCTTTGAATTTCAACCATTACTAAGTTTTGAACTTAAAAACTATACATTGTAAAATATTACACTAATTACTTCCACATCTAAGTTCCACTTCTACATCTATGGTCACTTATTGGTACAGTGAATGTTGATAAAATTGTAGCTTGGAATCAGATGCCTTTATGATGAGTGGTATGACTTTTAAGTCTGAGAGAGCCACACCAGTGGCTAACTTAGCTGGGAGTCCTTAATCTGAACTGATGAAACTACAGTACCATGCCAAAAGTATATGAAAAGGGTACTAAAATCACTCAACAACCACATAAGAAGTACAATAATAATTACGGATAATAATTATAGGATGAAAAGTGGATTCCAGAAATGCTAGGAAAAGCTAACCATGCAAGTGTTGCGGTTGATGTATTTCTTCATGATCTGAGGGTTGACCTTCTGAGTGACTGGGTCCACTGGGACATGGCGGATCTTCATGTTGAGAAAAGATGCAGCTTTGTCAAAGCCAGCATGGGCTGAGACTGGAACAACCATTTCAGGCCTCGAAATCCCTCGCTCCTCCCTTGCCCAGTTCCGGTATGCCAAGCAGGCCAGGATAAGAGACTCTGTTCCCCCTGATGTCAACTGCCACCGAAATCATAAGATGTGTCATCTAGTTGCTTCCAATAATGCACACAAATAAATTCCAGAACCAACTACCAAAATTGTTTGGTGTTCAGGACTGGACCAATTGATAACAAACAAAGGAAGAGTAATAAGGGATCACACCCCCAAATGAAAGGAATTTGGCTTAGGGGTAGAAGAATCTACTGTAAAGTGATGCATCATAAAATGGGTTGCACTATTGCCACAGTTATTAGTATTGATTATAGGATTTCAAAGTGTGACATCATATCAAAATTTCACATGGAATCTCCCATTAATAGCAGCTGCTACAGTAACTTGATTGAGCATCCCAGGGTGCTATAAGTTCTTATGAGCTCTGTCAAGCTCTGGAAATTCTGCTTATAACTTCTGACTGAAGAAAATAATATTTCAATTGCATTCAGGTTGATAAAGGGTTTATTAGTAAATGGCACATCATAGATATGGGATTCCCACAACAACAAAAAATGTTGTTATTCGAGAAGCAATCAAAAGCAACCATGAAGGCCAAACTACCGCTGTTCCACTTTCAAATGATGCAATCAATTTTTATGAAGTTTAATTAATCAGAATATAAGATGGAAACTGAATAGCCTCACCCAATATCAAGCCCTTTCAGTAACCTAATTAGTCAAGCAATTATGGTTTGAGTTGAATTTAAATATACCTTGAAATACTTCAAAGATAATGTACTACAAAAATGGACTTTAAATATGATGTAATCCATTTGCTTTAAGACTTTTGCTCATTAAATAGATACTGTAGTGGCAGAGAGATTTGTAAAGTAAAGGGTTAGAAGGCTGAGAAAGAGAAACTCACAACTCCACAGGAATTCTTTCCACCATGGAAGATGTTACAGACCATCCTCACAATTTCTGCCTCCATTTTACGGCATCCAGGAAAGATGTCTCTATGAAGGTTGTTGAACTTCACTGTCCTAGCATACACTTTCATCATGATCTCATATTGTTTGGGGTCCACTTCATACACAGCTCCTGAGGCTCTACCCTCCTCATATTTCACCTTCCCTGTACCAGAACCAATGGGTATGTGCTAGGCTCAAGACAATGCAATGTAATTAAAGCTGTCCTATTGTTTAGGGCTAATTATCTTTTGCATTCTAATTCCACAAAGAAAACTTCATACACCTGTCTGACAAGTCTTAAACAAAACATATAAAACATGCAAAGTCAAATATAACCAACATCACCCAGTATGAGTCCACAAACCTATTGAGTGAACAAGACTTGCTTGTCATTCCAAATATGATAGTTGATGATGCCACATGCAACTTTTTTTCTGCTCAATGCATCCATTAGGCTCCAACCTCATCCACAATAGGGTTATGCAGTTATACTAGACATAACTGCCATGTTGACATGGTTTCATGGATTTCTTAAAGAATCCACATTAAAAAAGCATGCTTTTTTCCTGTTTTGAAGATATGGATATGTGGATTGATGATTGGATAGATGAATAAATGTACCAAAAACTATTAAAAGGCATGGGAAGTTGTGCAATGAGATTTGACAAAAACTTAGTTCTCGGATTGGATATAAGCTAGTTAAAGTTTACTTTGAAAATATATTATGGAAAAGACACAAAACATGCTAAAGAGGAATTCAAAACTTAAAAACCAAAGAGTGCAAAATTAATATGCTAAAAGTATTTTGAAATGACAAACAGGTTTATTAGAATACTCTGGACTATGGGATAAAGTTCATGGGTCCCTGGAGTATTCCATTAAGTGGAGATGACTGTAATCAGAGAATCAGGTTTACCTATTCACAAGCAAGATACATTTCCAACAGGCTTCATGGAAAAGCTTTATGGAAAAAAAAAGCAAGAAAATATCTATTACTTTAACTTCTGGGTGAAGGTAAAGATTATGAAACCCAATATTTGCAGTATGCAAGTTCATTGTCACTTAGAAGGCAGATTTCTAACTTAGCCAATATTCTAGACTTAGAAATGGAGGCAGTTTCCCTGACTTCTGAACCTAATTTCTTTTCTCTTTTTTTCCCAGGATTTTTGGAATCATGAAAAAGTAAGAAAGAGGGGGTAGTGCAGACCAAATTTGCAGTAGAGTTCAGTTCGTTGTAAGATGTCATTGGGGTCAAGGCCTTGAGAAGGAAGGTGAGTGATATAAGGAGATCCAGCAACCTCTTGGTCCAATCCATGAATCAGCTCCTTCCTTGCCTTCTGCACTTCCCTATCCACATACTTGCGTATGAAGGACAACTTGAATAACTTGCGTAATCCCCAGGCCCTCACCCTCCTCCATGGCTCTGCTCCCGCATATAAAAGCAAAAAGAACTTCATTAATCAACCATACTTTGGCATAGGCACCAAAAAATGGGGGAAATTACTGAAGGTCCAAAATTGGCTCAGGCCAGTCAAACATAATAGTGAATGAATATCTACTGCGACTGAAAATTGCAAGACAAATATCCAAAAAAGAAAAATGGGGGAGATCATAGATATAAGCCGAAGTACACAATCAGAGCAAGAAATTGAGGCTTTGAAGAATGCGTGAAGGCGGGGTGAGGAATGAGGGAGGGAAAGGAAAGCAAACCAGCCATTCTACAGGGTGCGTACACATCCACTACATATTTTAATGTTGTAATAACTTTCTTTAAAATCTTTTTTGGACTAGAACATTGTTTATGTCAAAAGAAAGAGAATTTGATAGGGTGCTATGATTTTATTGATTTGTTTGTTCGCAGTAACCCTCCATGGTGCCAAAATTGAATCTTCGATACCTTATTCAGATAGCTGCACGATATGAAATATGGAGGAGAAAATGGAAAATTGCATCCAAAACATTCTCCCTCCACCACCACCTCTGGACCGGGATGGAGGACCTCCACACCTCATACCGTAGCCCTTTGTGAACTTCACTGAATATAATATATATTAAAAAGTCATTGTTGCCTCATCCGGGTGACTGATGATGCAGGCCATTTCAACTTCTCGAATGAAAATTAAACCACGAACCTACTCAACCAAATGTATTTTAAATTCTTTGAGCAAAATATCACAAAAATCTGACTCAAACCAAATCGCACTAAGACTCATGAACTTCGCAATGCTACTGAGGAAACAAATAAAACATAACACTACTGTTACTCATCAATGCGAAACTACCCAAACAGCATGTTTATGTTAATTTTACGTAAAATGAATGCAAAGTTTTTGTCCATTTTATATCATTTTTACGCAAACCATTGTCAAGAAAATGTCAACATGTTTGCAGAAATTGTTGATGTAAAATACACGTACACTTTGGTGACGTAAATATATGAACATAAATTTTACGTAAACGTGATGTCATTTTCATGGCAATCGCAAGAAATTTACATTGTTTGCAAGAAATTGATATCGTGTTTACGTGAACTTGCTGCTTGGGTAAAGGTGCAATAGTCACAGAAGGCATACCCTACATCTCGGGCACACCTCAATACCGTCCTTCTCTCTGTCCTGCGTCAGCCTTCCCGAGCGCTCCCACCCCACACTATAATCATAAATCTATAGGGAAGTGCTTAAGAAGATGTTTGCCAGTCAGCTTCAATCATTTGCACGTATCTCTAGCACCTAGGGAGCTTCCCTTCGCGCCCCATGCATGCCCCCCCCCCCCTTATCTCAGCATCTTCGCCCCATGGAGTCACGAGCACGCGAGTACGTGTGTACATGCTAGTCCTGCATTCTTTTCGCGGAAGGAAATGACTCCCGGGGGCGGTGTCAAGACGGCAGTCAGTATCGATCAGAAGCGCAAAAAAACATGAAGTGCAGGGTGGGCCATAAACATTCAATTCACGTGTAATTTTTATATTTCTGCATGCCCAAGAAAAGCAAAAGAAGCAAAGGAAATGAGACACGGTACCTATACGTCAGCCTCTCTCTGGTGGCCAATCTTGGATGTCTCAACAGGACTCCTACTCTGAGTCACATGACTTGTCTGAGTCACACAAAAACTTGTCAAGCAGACCACTTAGAGAAATTATCAATAAACATGAACGGCCCCCTTGCAACTCTGGAATCAAATACATTAACAGTGGGCGGAGTCAGCTGGAAGTAACTGTCCAAAAACGAAATCAAGTGACTTGAATCGAATAAGACTGGTACTGAAAGAGATATGGAACTATGCCCATCCAGTGTAACCGACCAGCCGCCCCAAGATTGCAGGTTACCGTCAAGAAGAAAGGGGACACAAAATATTTTGTGAATACAGTAGTTACAGTGAGACTCTGTCTGGTTCCGATTCAGTTGATTCGATGATAAATTATTAGTACAGGAAATATAAGGCTTTGATTTGGTGTGAGCATTCATGGCCCACCCCAATAATCCTAGAGCGGCAGGAGGGGGAATCAGAATTTATCGAGTTTTCTAGGGTTACCTGGTCTACGAGTAAAAAAAAATCGAATTAATAACATATATAAAAAGCGGGAAGGTTTCGATGGGACTTGAGACCTTCCAGCGTGCGAGCATGCAGTGTCCTTTGAATAGAAAAAGAGTGAAGGAATGACACCCACTCACTTCCGTCGTACCGTCATGCGCAGATATAAACTGATAAATAGGTGTTCTGCACGCAGCCGAGTGCTCTATCTGGCACCACTGGTGCAAAGATAAAAGGAGGGCTCTTGGAGTAGGCGACCGTTGGACTCGATATGGTGCTTCCGCCCTCCACTTGCCCTCTTATTTGCACTGGCAACTTTCCTACATTTTTCATACGGCCTACCTTGGCAATTATCAAAGACATGGGTTCATCTCTACTCAAAACCCTTGAAAAACTTTTTTTTCGCAGATTGTGATTCATAAGTTCAAGAAGCCTTGTCTCTGCTCTGCCCCAGCTGACTGCGCTGTGAGCTAGTGAGCTGTGTAGATCTAAAATCTAACAGACTTCAATACGAATATCAGATAAGCGGAAGTGATTAGTCTAATCAGGGATGAGTATGAGAGTGACCAATTAACCCAGAGGTGCCAAGCCCTGGGGTACATCTCACGACCACCGTGCGGTGGTCGTGAAATAAGCGGATTAAGTAGATCTAATGAAAATAAAGGCGCACCGTCGGTGATCTCGAGGTTCCGCAGATAGAAGGCTAAGATGGTCGCCCCGCAGGTGAGAACGATGATGCGGAATGGATGTACATCGCCCAGGACTTCGTTGATCACATCCGGGATCCGCAGCACGGGATCCAGCCACTGCCTTGCCGTCTCCATTGTACTAACTAGATGCAGATGGAGTTGACACGGCCGCTACTGTATCTCCCTGAGGCTGACGTCAGACGTCACGTGACCGACTACGAATCACGTGATATTATCTGAATGGAGGTCCAATCAAAAAAAGTGATTATTCTACGTCTTTTCCCTCTACTATAAACAGTGTAAGATAATCGATACATGTACTACTTCCACGGCGCAAATCGTACTGTCTACGGGAGAGTGATACGAGGATTACTCCACTGCACGATCAAAAGGAACAATCACTGCAGGAACACTACGGCATGATTCAGGGAATTTTCACCTCAGAGTCACCTACAACGTGTGACCTCGTGACGTAGGTATTTTCTTGAAAAAAAAAAACATATTCTCTGGAACCTTTGTTTGTTTTCTCTTTTGATGGAAAACAAAAATAGGCCTCGCAAAATGGAAATGAAGTCAGAAGCGATAAGAGGAACGTCGTGTACACTGGAACACATGGCATATGAGAATTTCGGACTCAGACGAAGAGAGTGAACTTGCGATACGACAACACGGCAACTCGAGTGCAAGAGATCACGGCCCACTTGTTTGTGCACAGAAGCAAGGCCAAACAAACCCACGACGAGGTCAACGATCCAAGGTCATCCCACGCCTTCTGTATATCGTGTTGTCTTCTCCGCTTTAATCGAGATTTATCCAGACGTGCACTTCAAAGGGCGGCAATAGGCACTTGGAGTGGAAGGATGATTTATTCGGGAAGAGGGCTGTTTCGCCCTGATTTTCAAAGGAATCTTAGGAATGCGATATCGGAAATCCTTATCGTAGCAGGGCACCGCTATCTCCGGTATGTGAGAAACGGTAATATTACGCAATCCAGGAAGAAACGCGATGTCAGAGGCTGAATAGGCTGGACATGCCAGAGACCTGTTACTCCAGTGACTGCCCGAGACACTTCATGAATAGGCTCAGTCGGAAAGTCATTTCGCTCAGTCGAAGGAGAAAGCTGCATCAGCTGCCTGCGGCGCCGTCACTGATGGCCATGGAAAAGTAGGACAACTATTGCTGAGTAAAAAAAAAACACAAGTAGTTTAATATATTCTCATCTTCATAAAATGTCATCGAACGTGAACCATTGAGGGCACACATTAAAAGGAGTCACAAGGTGAATATCGATGGCAAACTCATGGGAAAACTAACATTGTTTGACATGGATTATGCCACCTCGCCAAAGAAATCTCTCAGGTACTGATTGAAGATGTGCCCATTGATTACCAAGAAAATGAAAATAAAACAAGACCCTCTATAAGCCAAGCTGCACCCGAGCAGCACTGGCGATTTGAGTGGCATACATTTTTTCACAACGCTCGACGGGACAAAGTCCTCCAAATTTCCATGGATCTGTCTACACGAATGTGCCATGATAAATTTCCAAAATTGGCATCCTTTAATTTGTCCATCCTGTACAGAAAAGGCGAAGGGATCGGAGACAGAAAGATCCACTGCAAGTTTCATGCGAATTCATGGATGACAGGGCATCGCAATTTTTTTCGTTTTTGACTTTCCTTCACATGAGAGGACAGCACGACCTGGAACGATTTTTTTCTTCCTAATCCTTGGTACGCCATCGCAGGGTAATAGCCATCTTGGGATATTGGAGCAAATATTTATTACCCTGCAAACAACACCTACCACGAGATTTTTCTAAAGGCAAGCCATCGATATCGAACTCCACGATCGATCTCATCACTTCGGAAGAAAGTTTTGAAACTGAACTTTCAGGTTTTTGTAACAAAACCTCTAAGAAGCTGATAAATTCTGTCCGAGGGGGGCACTCGAGTAATTTGCTTAACATAGTTGCAGCCGGGTGAAGCTTCTAAATTCTAGGGGGAGTCCTGCAGGGGTGTACAGGACTTTTCTTGGCTTAACCAGGACCTGACTTCAGAATCTCAAATTTTTTTGCATTTCCAATCTCAGACTCCTAATCCTCCCCTTTCAGAAAGCACAGACATTTCACCCATAAATTTCACCTGAGGAGTGGGGGCGTCACGAGAAAAGCAGTCAAAGATGGCATTACCAGCACTCACTTCAACCTGTTTATCTTATCTGGGCTGTATTCATTTGCTCCTATTCCATGTCGATGTCATCTGATTAGTTTCGACAAAAGAGGTCGCAGCAGACGTGCGACTACGTAGTCCATGAGAACAGCCATGGGCGTCATTCGCTAATCACTTCCTATTAAACTTCTAAAGTGAAGAAAAAATGCTTCTCCGCGACTAAACACACTGAAAAAACACGACTTCTGACCAAAATGTAGGAAATGTACAGCAAACCCCACTGTTACAGGAATAGGAGAATATGTCCGACCGTATGGTTATTGCCCCAGGAACTGGAATAAATGCCAGTTGCCGTGCTCAGCATCCGTGGGGTATCTACCTTAGTTTTCATTATTAAACTCAACATAATGAGGGGATCTCACTTCTGCGTAGGTGACATGACTGTGTTGCAATTTAGTAGCAAAAAGAGAACTGCATCTTGAGTTCAACTTATCACCTATATGTGTCCATCGTCAAATTCCAACCCAATAATTCAGAAGGATTCACATCAAGTCCAATTTATTATTGTTGATGGTTGGATAAGCAGAGATCAACGTCAAAGCAATTTGGAAAATCAGAATAAATCTTTGTGACGTTAATATGGATGGACATGATTATCTTGGCTTGTCGACCACAAACGTCGACGGTCCATGATGTAATGCAGACAATGAATTAATGGTGTGATATGTGAAAACCAGTGAGATTGGCATTTCAGCTCTCGATACACTCAGCCAAACTGACCGACAAAAACTTCAATGTCCCGTCCCAAATGTTTGGAAGAACATAGATCATCCTCAATGTTGACCGAAACTGTAGGTACAGCAGAGAACCCTAAGAGCTCTCTCCATAAATCTGTCAAGTATAGAAGGGCATGTGCTCATATTGATTGGCGCAATCTCTCCCAGTCTAAGGAGGATCAATGCCTCGTCACCTAGCCTTTTCTCAATTTATTCATCGTACGGTCTTAATAGCTTCATATTCTATTTCCCACGTCTACACTCGACACTCATGTTGAAGTAAAAAATATATGACCACTTTAGAAATAATTCATTTACTGCTGTCAAGGAGAATGCCTCTGACAGTTACCACACCTTGGTAGGGTAACAGGAATGTAATAGAGCTTAAGGTCGTATCCATTATAATAGGTTACAATAAAATGCATGGGATGGATTTTGTTTCACAAGAATACAGACAAGCATTTCCCCCAATCAAGTGATGTCTGTTTCCATCTTATTCACTTCAGCTGTTTCTTCCTGCCTGATGCAAGGAACCCATTTCCCTCATCTGTGGGCGAAGCTAGCACAGTGAGGGTCAGAGTCACACATTCCTCTAACCCAGGTGGGTTTACAGCTGAGGAAAACTACTGCATATGGATATCTCCTAGAACAGGGGTGTCAAACATACGGCCCGCGGAGGTGGTTCATCCGGCCCGCCTTGTGTTTTAGAAATTTCTGCTTTGATACTATTGCCACAAATTTCAGTGGAAAATTATGGGTGCGGCCCGCAGGCATCTGCACGGTAGGGAATGACCCTGATTTTTCATGACTTAACACCTCAAAACTGATTATAAGAACAAGCAACATGTTAATATTTTTGACACTGCACCTCAAATATCAAGTGCCTGATCTTGATATCCACATCATTTTGAATCGAGAATGCACATATCTGGACTTAGGATTCAATCCAAAGAGTACAAACCATTTCTACAGCATCTGGTGATGATTGCCAAAACCTCCCTCTCTACTTTCTTTGTAAATAGTAATTACTCAAAACTCATTACAGAACTGAATGGCTGATCTCTGAATGCCAAAATCATTTATTTCAAATGATTCATTACATCTAAAGAAATCTCCATCTCATGTCTTCATCTACATGTGATCTACCATGTGTAATGGGAGAGTTTTAGATAAGAGCAGAAAAGAAACCAGTACATCCAAGAAAGTACACTCTAGTCATCTGCCCCTTGGCATTGCTACTCCTTCAGAGGAACAGGACCATTGAATCTTTGAACGACAGGAATTTCATTCTTTACAGAACAATTGTCTCACCTTCAAAGAAGAAAGGGATTTCCATTGAAGGAGTGCAAAAGATTAAGACAGGATAGAGTAAATATAACCATACTTTACACTTATCTTTACACAAGCAGAGCATACATTTCCTATCTCACTTGTGTATATGATGGCAGTTGGTGGGCCTCATGCAAACTTGTCATGCAAAAAATATCTTGCTTCTTCAGCTCCAAACACCTTACTTCTCAGGTGAACCTGAGAAGGTGCTTGGGCTAAAGGCCAGAAACCTTATACAACAATATTAAAAGATTACAAATACATATTTTGAAATAAAACTGTTGGGTAGACATCATCAAAAGATTTAATAGCAAGACAGTGCTTCTGTCTACTGGGTGAATCATGTGTGCTACCATTATGCTATTGTTAACAGGGAGATAACCATTTGCATCAATGAAAGGAACATATTTTTTCCTACAGAATATCTAAACTACTCTCTGGAGTGGACAAGTAAATTGTTTCAATTGTGATTATTGGAGTGACCCCAATCCTCATATTATGGATAGGGAATTGAATTCATCAGGTTTTTAATACGTGGTGAGGACAGGAAACATCATGGAGCCCCACTTCATTTCTTGCACTGTCAACTGGAATTGCTGTCTTCAAATCAATGTCTGTAATAATACAGTAATATGTATGTAGTAATGATGTGTTATTGATGGACACTGAAGCTTCAAACATGACATGCTCTTTCAAGTGGAAGGTGCCTCAACATATACCAAACAAATGTGCATGTTCCCAGATGCTGAACTCACTGGTTGAAGGATTGGTCAACATGATTCCATGAAGGTCCATGGGCACCTGTCTAGATCCCCCCCCCCCCCCCCCATACTTTTATCTTTGGGGAATGAATAGCACTGTGCATGCAAGGAAACAACAAAAACCAAGGAATTGAAGATGGTGATTGATGTTGAAGTCAGTACCATTCCCATGAAATTGCTATAGAAAGTGTCATTTTGTCATATAACAGATGCTGGTTGAGTATCTCAGAAATTAGAGCCACAAGCTAATTAGAGAAACAGCTACTACATTCAATTATGTAAATCATTTTTCTTTTTGGGTATGCTCTTCTCTCCCTACAAGCCTGGGTATATTGGTACTTAACTTATGAATCAACTAGTGCATGACTGAGGATGTGCTGCTGATATATTCTCTGCAAAAAGAAATTACTTTACTCTTCCTAATTCTGACAATATCAAATCTGAAAAGTATGTAAGGTACCAGAGCATGGAGCATAATTCACAACTCAAGGAAAAAGCATGTGATCCTTGCATGAACATCATAGGGGCTGAAGCAGGAATCCATAGATATGGTATTGCATACATTTTGGTTAAACCCCTTCCTTCCCTCAGACCTGAAAAAGTAGCTTCATGAACTCTTACTTTAGTTAACTTTCACCTGCATGACTGCATTCAGCACCAACATCTTATGAAGGAAAGGGCTTCCACATTGATACCTTCCAAGATAATGGGGCCTGGAATACTTGAATAGTTTGCTCCACATTTTTTATTGTTGGGGGATGTCACTGTCATAAAAATACAAATGAAACCTTTCTGAAGAAGTACTAATTAAATGACAATTCCCCTCACAGCTACAGTAATAGTGTGAAGCTGCCAAAGCCTGAGCCTTGAAGGCCACCCTACATGCAGAAAGACTAACTCACAGTTTAGTCAGATGTCAACACCTCTGAATCCCATCTTTTAAAAGCATTCAATTTTCAAGATCTGCAAGGTTGCAAATTTTTGTATTATTATTGTTTTCCAAATGTTTCTCTCCTGCAGTCACATGCAAGAAATGAAAAAAAAAAATTAGTGATGGTGCCAAACACTTGATATTGTGCTCTAAATGATGACTGAATACTGTTTGTTTGAATATCTTGCAGTTATGAGCTGTGCTTTTTTTCATAAGGGAAGGGGGGAGTGAAATGAAAGGATACTAGATGGGAGATGGGGAACCATCCCATGCAGCATATTAGACCCTCATCCCTCACTGAGATTGCTGAGGATTCATACAAGCCTCCTGGGAATAAGCAAGAGTCATTTCCACTGGAATTCAAGTGAGCATAACAATCATTTGCCTGCACCTGAACCATCTGAACTAACCATGCAGTTCCAGCCTTCTTTTCCCTCCCCTCCATTAGGGAAGTCAACCAAGGTCTACTACTACTATATGACATAAATAAATATGAATTTACAAAAATATAAATAATTAAAAATAACTTTTCAATGAGTATGGGTCCTGCTGTTAGTTCTACCACACAGTCCAAAGAATTGGGTATGACAAGGGTTTTGGCTCAAGTGAAAGCATGGAAATAGGTTTCTTATCATCATGTCATTATAAGAACCACATTCCTTGAAGATGGTAAATTTATAGGAAAGTAAGGTTCTTCATCAGACAGCATGAAACTTCCTTTATAATTGTGAAAAATTAAGGTAAAATGCATATGATGACTAGCTCAGACCAACCAGTAACAGTATTACTGCCATGAGATGGTAATGATAGGTAATAAGATAATAGGTAAAAATGTCAAATTTTAATTTAAACTACAGTAACATAGCAAAGTAACCTTTCTAATTTAACTGCAAGGAATTGGCTGTGTTGTTTTCAGAATTGAAAGGAAATCACATTGGCTTGCAAGCCAATGTGATTTCCATCATCCCGAGTCTAACTTCTGTCATGATCTGTGTGAAGGAACTGGAGGAAAGAATGAAGAAGACACTCCTTGATGTACAAACGATTTTAGATTCTCTTTCCCAAAAATCAGAAAAAGAAAACCAAAAACTCCATCCTCTTTCTGGAACATGAGACCACACAATTTCCCAAGACTGCAAGAAGCATCAAGAAAGAAAAGCCCGGAAGAGCACAGATCACTCTCTTCCAACTTCACAGCAACAAATTTCCCTCAACTCTTCTCAATGTAGGAGGCAATACAACAGAAGTACCAGTAGTCTAAACAACAGGAAGTTTCTCAGAGACACAAGTGGAGACACAACTTATTGATTTTTCCACCCACAGCATGGGAAAGAGGATAGAATTCTAGGTATCATAATTTGTTAATGAGTCCTCTTTGTCACAGTCTCACTATGACTTAACCTTGGAGTATCCTTATACTGTGTAGCGATTCTTGGCTGTGGAGCCTGTTTTGGACATTGTGTCATCATGAGCCTGGTAGCCAATTGTGATCCCTCGCCCAATGTTCAGCCTCTCCTTCAATGTTGCCCTGACAAATAAAAAAGAGCATGACATTCTTCTGAACCCTCAGAGACAATGCTGTTGATAAACTGTCTCTAGGAGAGAGATCTTTGTTTCAAGTTCATTTTCAGAAAAATAATGATCATGATTAACAGGTTTCATCAAAGTCCAGATCAGCTTTGGAAAGTGCAAAGAGTACCATCAATCCTGCAATTATTTCCTGACTTGATACAAATGCATGAGGGGTGCAAGCAACCACTGTCCTGACTGATATATATTTGAATTCCCATGGAGTTGTATGCAAATATTAACTTTGTCCACTTAAAAGATATAGCAACCACTCCTACAACAGAAGTCCAAAACCTTTGAGCACAAAACTGAGCAAGAATCACCTACAAAGACATAATAGTTTGTGCGTTGTGCCATCCTTGAGAGGAAATTCTTATTTGAACCATCTATTTTCCTCACATCACAGTGATAAAATAAATTTCCAGCAAGAGTAGATTAAAACTTCAAGAACATCATGATTAGTGGAAATGCAAAACCTCTCCCCACATTGAAGTTCAGTATTTCAAAGACTTTCTTAGCCCTCAAGAAGTCAGGATTGACATTACTGCAGATGCCACCACCAGAGAATTCAATAAATTTACTGCAGCAACTACATGAAAAAAAGTGCATGGTCTGTGGCAAGTAAAGTTGAGAACTCAATACAATTCTTTTAGTCAGGACATCAAACAATGAGAGTTCATAGTCATGAAACTAACATTTTATTAAACATTTTCTTCATTGAAACACATAGTTCTCTTAAACATACTTAACAATGCCTAATATTACTTTTATGACAAGCATGCTGAAGAATATGAATCCACATTGTCATATACATATCAAAATAGAGGCCTATTCACAGCAGGTTTTCATGCTAATTGCAAGATCTTATGGAGAAAGAACTTCAAGAAGTTCTTTCTACATGGGAGATGTAACACCGAGTGACCCAAAAAGCTCCCAACTTTACAGGACTGCAGACAAAAACATAAAATTGACAGGGGTAACATTCAAAATGATTGTGATTTTCTGAAAGTTCAATGAAAATGGCCATTCAGAATCCAAGTAACAGGATTTTCCTTAGTGTATTCTGCATGTTCAGTTAAGACTTCTTAGTCAGAGATATCTTAGAAACAACCAATCCCATCAACATTTTTTCCAAACACCAAAATTTTCCCATCATCATCTAAATAACTTGATTTTCTTTTGAGTTTATAATTACTATGCCCATTAAAATTATGCTTTAACTTTGATGAAATTACTTATTACACCACCCAAGAAAACACCTATATGCTTATGAAATTGCAAAAACAGGTTTTAAAAAATGGTTTTCCATTAAGTAAGATTTCCTTTCAAGTCCTATCATTATTCTCTTACCTCAGCCTCATCTCTTGCCAGATAACCAATGAAGTACTGAAAGTGTCATAATAAGTTTTTACCCTTGCCATGGAATCAACCTCCTCCCCCAGATTCAATTACAGCCAAGTCCATAACATTACTGCCTACATAATTTATACAGGGTGTTTCAAAAGTTGCACAACTCTATACATAAACAAGTGCTGTCATATATTTACCTGGAATACATACACATCAGCAATTGCAATAGGTATTGTGGGTTTCATATTTTTCACATAATCTATAAAAGCTGAATGTTAATACATAATTCAGAAATTCATTGTTCAATTCTCAATTCAATTTCCTCAAAAATATGCAGTATATAGAATTTTGCGACTTCTGAAACACACTGTGTAATCTTTCAGCGATGAACTGTACTAGTCAGACTGGTCTTTGATCCCTTAGGTTAGGAAAAAAAATACAAAACTGAAAAGTTACTTCATTTTCCACACATTATTTTTATTAGAATGAGGAAATAAAAAGAAGGGTCATCCAAAGGATTTCATCCAGTTGCAGGAAAATTATTTAAGAATGTAATCCCAAGCAAAAAATAACATTCATGGAAGAATTGACGTCGGGTCTACGGAAGCTCAGATCCCCTTCAAAAGATTGGGGGATGACGTGAATGATCTAAACTTGATTAAATCTTGCTCATGGATTTTTTTACCTCTGCTTTGCTTACATTTCCTTCACCATGCAATGCATGGCAAGAGCTGGGACATGACTCACCCAATCTTCATGACAGATTCAGGCTTCTCAGAAGTGGCAGTCCACACACCGATCTTGTCACCTTTGTTGCGGATGTTCACCACAGCCCCACACATTTCTTCACTCTCATCTTCAAATGCCTCCCCAATCAGGCAAAGCAGCTGGAATACCCCAAAGATATGTGGAAAGAACATTGACTCAAGCCCAATTGAGTCAGGGATTTAAATATTCTGCACAGAACAGAGTTATGCAAATTCGCAACACACTAAAACCAAGAGGATCATAACCTTTGACAAAGCATCATATGAAGAAGTTTGACACTCATATAATGAACTTGAATACAAGGACATACAACTTAACAGGTATCATGAATAACTCATAAATTCAAGTATTATAAAATACTTCAGTCTGCCTGCTGTTGATGCATAAATCAGCAATATTAACAGTTATACATCAATTGCACCTGATCATCACTCATAAAATGAGTGAAAAAGAATGAAAAAAATACAGAAAGTTGTGCAAAGACCTGCAAAAAGGGTTAATCAGTTCCCCAGGTTTGCAGACAGTAATTACTTTGAGGAAGAGGTTACCCAAGATGCTCACCACTACAAGGCAATGGTTATTAAAGATTCTCACCACTTCAAGCCAGAGATTATCTAAGTCAGCGAAACGCTGTGACTTGTTGAGGTTCAAGAGCCACCTTCCACCTTTCTTGTTTCGATCATCTTCCCACATTGGTTTAATTCCCTTCTTGAAGAGGGAGTAGTCTGTCCCAGCTGGCAAGTGACTCGCCACCTCTATGTAGTTGTACAGCCTGGATAACAAATTTTATTTGTAATCTAGAGATACCATCCATATGAATCACTGGAGGATATAATCACAAGTCTACACAGAGGAAGTGAGATTTGCACATCTCTTGGACATGTCTCAGACAACGGTTTCAGGACAGTTTTGACTACTCAGGAAATAAAACTTAAATTTAGGAAAATTTAGCATAATCCAAAAAAAAAAAGGCTGTACATCAATATCAGACTTTAGTTCCATGTTCAAGAAATATGCCAAATGACATGCGCCCTTTCATTTGATGGATTATTCAAGCTGGATTAAGCAATGCTTTTAAATGTCTCAAGTTATCCTTCGGCCTCAAAGCATATCATTTTGAGCATGGTACATATTACACCTCCAGAGGAATCCTACACAACCCAGTCGTATACTGCTTGTACCAAGGACAATGTCTGCCCAATGAATTTCAAACAGATTGGAAGTTGTCCACTAGTATAGGTTTTTGTATACCTTCCATCCATTAAGTGAATGCAAGGCCAATTATTTATTTTTCAGTTAATTTCTCATTGCATTAAGATGAAAGAACCAAATGAGCCAAACTTGAAAAAGGAACTCCTCATTTTCAACACTATGGCATTAGCTCCATGATCATAGAAATAAATGACAACAAAAATATTTACTGCTACACATAAGCTTTGATAGTTTCTGCACAAGAATTGCTGAGGGTGTATGAGGAGCAGATATCGGTTGATTACAGTGCCATTGCATATTGATTACCAGTACAATTAAACTCCAGAAAGCATGAGTAACTAATTAGTTAAAACCTCATTATATATTCAAATTATCAACCCATTCTAGACAAACCTACCCTTCTGACCAATATTTTTTGTGAGCCAGCAGAAATTAAGAAAATAATTTCTCCCCATGGGATCACACCTCAAGTATAGTGCTGATTAGGAGGGGGAGAGAGAGCAAGAGAAAGAAAAAAAACAAGGGGGGGGGAGAACAGGAAAAGGACATACGCCCAGAAGTCTTCAACAGTGGCAAAGCTAGTGATCTCAACTTGGTTCTCCTCCCATGCCTTCGTACGATCATTTTTGAAAAACCACAGGGTCCATGTATTCTGAAGTGGGTGCTTAATGTATGCATCATTGAGTGGGGTACAGACTTCTACATCAGTCCCAGCTCCTTCTGCTTTCTCTGATGACTTCCCAACCTTTCGGTGCTCCTGCAAACCCATCATAGCATCTTCTCACTAATAGGTTCACAATAAGGTGCTTGGTAGCAAAAACAAAATAAATTCCATTATATGAGATATTAAGAAAAACTAATTTGCATATCAGCTTCTGAATACAAAGAATGTTCTTGAGTAGTTCTTTTGCATATTCTAGCCTTTAGAAACTGTCATCAAACAATTTTCAATGCTGACTGGTGATTATGAACTGCAAGTAAACGTTTAAAATTGACTAATCATTTTGGTGATATTAACAAGTCAAGTAGAACTTTAAAAATATTCAATTTGTTTCTAATAAATGGCTGCCCTCTTCTTGGTTGACTTTGGGCTAATGGGCAATGACCAAATGTCGAAATTAGGCTAAGGGCATATATGATCAGACAAGTGTACTTATTTCAATTTGAAAAGACCAGAAGGATATAGGCTTTGGCATGAATGCACAAACCTCATTACGAGGAGGTAAAGGGGACCTTAAGCTAAAGAACTATTTCCCCCCATAGTAGTTCATGTATTCTTAAAGGACCATTGACTGAAGGAGGTTTCAGCATTCTGGCTTATATCAACACTAGAATCAAAAGCCTTTTCTCACAGCAATCACACATGGGTTATTCTCTGCCAGAGATTCTTCATAGGTCTTCATTGCTTCTTACTAGACATGCAAAGCAGTCCATATGACTAACGTCTGAAGTCCAGTTCATAACTTCCCAGTTCTAGTAAATGATTGGGTTCATAGCAGAGGTGGGAAAAGTTCTGTAATCTGGTAACCAGGTTACCAGGAGTAACAACTGATTGAGAAGGCAAGGAAGGGAGAAGCAATATCAATGACTAGGAAACTGGACTTTTCCCACCTCTAGTTCATAGTATTTTATAAATTTCAAGTGCTACAATCAAGCAAAAAAAAACATGGTTCTGTGTAATGCTCATCTGGGGTACTGTTTGTTGGATCTTATTTTTCAATATGGCAGAGAAATACAAGGTTAAGGACAAACTTTTCATAGCCACCTCATTGACCAAGACAAAGGCTTAATTGCTGATGGTGCTTTTTTTCTGTCTGCAAATTTCATCCATAATTAGGGAATGAAGGTATGTTTATTTTTATTTTTATTTTTTTCAAGCAACCTAAGCCATGGGCTAATTGCCCAACATCATAGTAGAACAGCACTTCAAGGAAGGCCCATAATGGGTACTTTTAAAAAATTAATTTTAATTACCATGCAAGTTTTATGAAAATATGCTTTTCAGGGCTGTTTCACCTTTACTTGGACCCTAAGAAAGAGATTATTTTACAGCATCAAAAATTGTGACTTTATGTCTGCAACCACTACATGCTAACTTGAGTAATTAGCTGCTTCAAAAACAATTCTTTCACAATATGCAATAAATAAAAGCTATATTCTAGAGTACATGATTCATTAATTGTGAAACCTAGCCTATGATAGGCCAAAGCAAATGTGAGGCATGGGCCTAATTTATACAATGAATCCTAAATAATTTATTGGGAATCTTTGAAGCTTTTAAATCCCAACTAACTATTCAACAAATGAATTTGAGAGTATCATGGAGAAACAATCATTCTCTGGATTCAATTATGGAATCTTTACCTAATTAGGGAAAAAAGGAACTTTACAAAAATTCATTTAAAAAGGCAGTGTCTATTGGCTGGGCTGGCTCAGCCCTGACTTAAGGGATGAGTCAGAAGTCACCTGGCTCATCTGTTAGAGTTGACATATCATGAGTTGATGACACCTACCTTCAATAGGACAAAGCTTGACTTCCACAACCAAAGTTGTGGCCAAGCAGGTTTTCTAAAGTGAAAATGATGTCTAAGGTAATGCTAAAAGTCATATGGGCTGTTGCATACTCCAGAGCAGGTTAGAAAAACCCTTGTGAACCTGCAAACAAGGTTTGCAGGAACAAAGATGTGCAGACAGGTGGGGCCAGCCTGGCCCACTTAGTCCGCTTGCATATCCTTCCCGGGAAATTCCAATTTGTCACCTCAGGTTCACGAGAAAAAACTTTTTCCTACACTGCTCCAGAGTGATGACTTTCATCATGTCATAATTGCCATGTATATTACTTCCAGCAATTTAAGCTAATACTTATTAAAATGCAGGATTTTACAAGTGATAAAGAGTCAAGGCAGAGAGGACTCACTTAAAGTTCAAGAAGAGCATATGGAGTAAAGTCCTTAATGGGTGATAAGCACTTGTAGGACTTAGGCTTGCCTGGCTCTTTGGTGTATCATAAAATTGATGACATGTACCATTTTTATTTGTGAACTAAGCTGTTTTCAAAGCAGGTGCCCCAATGGCAAGAATTTTCCCACTTCCCGATATGAAACATTTTACATTAGTTAATGAGTATGCAATTATTTCCTACCATGACAGAAGTAATATTTTTAATTGCCATGATATCCTTCAATAATGAAAAGCTGTCTAGTTTTAGGCTGATAGGCCGAAAAAGGTGGCTCAAAACCTTCCTACTAGGCAAAGGAAGCACCTTCTCTTACCTTAAAAATAAAAAGGAAACGACACGCCTGCATTCGGTGGGCTAATGGAAGCTTTACAATGTAGGGGGTGACAGAGGTCATGCTTCCCAGCCCGGCCCTGGAGTCGAGATCGAATCAGCTTGGCCAACAGACACTGACTTAAAAAAAAAAAATTCACCGCAATTTCATGTTTAAGCCCAAGTACACCCTAGGCCCATGCACCCCATGTTTTCGGTTAAAGCTGAGAGCATGTCGAACATAAGGACGTTTCATGTTGTAATTCTGCAAAGTCCTAGGCTTTTACCGGTGTGAATACATGCAATAGAGGGGAATACAAAAAGGAATCTGGACTCACTTCAACTGTGTCTCCCATATCCGCCGCCATCTTTGCTATGATGACACGCGCAAGGAAAGAGTCCCCTGCGGCTTGCCACCTCTTTCGTCCCGCAAGGCCTTCCTTCGCCGTGCGCCAAGAAATGGTGTTAAAATATATTAGCAGTTACTTGTGAAATATTCACGTCTTCCTAAAAGAGGCTTATCGACTTCCGTCCCATAGCAAGGAAATGAGACAGATCACTTGAATCTTGAACAGCCATGTTTCAGATCATTAATATTGTGTGCATCCCGTCAGGGAATTCTGTCCCATATTATTCAATTTAGACACCATACGAAATAGGAACTCCCAAGTATCCGATGGAGAATGTGGGATGCTTCCGGTCATCCGAAGTCCCCTTATTTTCCATTAAAGCGATTTTTTGTGAGTTCTGTCTCATAGCATTATATGGAGTCACAACTTTCGAATTTATAAAAGCCTGGATCAATAATGGGGATGCGTCAAGTCATCAGGGAAGCTCCTCATTGCCTGTAGGCAATGGGGGGGGGGGGGGCGCGAGTTCCACCCCATAGCATTCAAGCGAGACACGTCGTTCGAACTTTGAACACCCGGATCTTGGATAAGGAACAGGGAATGTTGAGCTCTGCGCTGGATGCGGATCGGCTTGATCGGACCGACTCAACTCTCGGATCTGGCGTGTAGCCCCGCTGGCAATCAAGTTTCCGGTTGGGTGCAGGCGAATACCAGACACCCTGAATTCTCAAGCTTAGAAGCCTAAGCAGGCTGCGAGCTGGCCCAATCGGCACGACAAAATCTGCGGTTCGGGCTCGCAAAGCTTGGTTGGCGATCGAATTTCTGGTCGGATGTGGGCCATAATTCGAATTGGACCGATCGGGTCGGATGGGGAAAAGTGGACCCGTGCAGGCTCTCGGCGGACAGACAGAAAAAGGGACGGACAGACAGACAGAACACACGTCGACTATCATAGATAATATACAGTAGAACTCGGTTATAACGTCATCGAAGGGACCAGAGAAAAATCGTCGTTGTAACCGAGGTTGCCTTTATTGACATTCCCTTTTCCTGTTTTCAAAATAGATGCCATATAACGTTACAACTCCAGTGTACATCGGTAATGCCACACTAGCGTCAGTTTAAGGATTGACCCTCTAATCGCACTTCTTTGGACCTTGAATTACTTTATACTTTAGCAAGGACTCGTCGACGTCATCTCAACAGATCTACGAAGTTTCTTGTTTTGTGACATGTTCTCGCAAGCACGGATGAAGCTGTCACGATTTTCCCAAAATGTGGAAACATAAACAGATGTCCATGTTTTTCGAGGAGGACTTCGCCTTTACTTCGAGCACTTTCTAATTAATTAATCATGCACACTCTCCTTTCAATCGTGAAGGCTTGCCTCTTTCGCTTTCCACTGGCCATGTTGTCAACGAGAAATGTAATTGCGACTGAAGATAAGATGATCTTGTTAGTTACTGGGGATTATCCCTCCCTCACCCTCCTCCAATCACACCCACATGATTATTCTCAAGGAATGCCGATTCCAGGAAAGATAACGTCTTTTTTTCCTATGCTGGGAATTCCAGTTAAGAATGACGGATTAGGGACATCAACGTTGTCAATTTCGTCAGGGGGACCTGGTTATAACCGAGGTTCTCGCTAAACCCGAAGTAAAATGTAGCGTGCCTTATGGGCTCTACGCCGGTATCTGGCGCTTTTCGTCGTTATAACAGAGGTTTCGTTATAACCGAAGTCGTTACAACCGAGTTCGACTGTATATGTAACAAATCCTTCAAGGTTCTGGGACCCATTGACGTCGTCATCACAGTCAACATGAACAGATGCAGGGCACATGTAGGAATGCAAGCAGCAGAAGATAATGAAACAACTGCCAAAGCAAGAGAAATGGAAGTAGGTAAAGGAATTCAAAAGGAAACGGGTATGAGGGATTGACAGAAGTGTCTTCGAAATGTACAGTTGAAAATTATCGATTCCACATAACGGATGCTTTTAGGAATGACATGCAACTGTCTGGGACTCTAAAAGAAGAATCGAGGAGCAGGGCTGTCACATTTAAGATAGAATGATACTAAGCTAAGGAGGAAAATGGCAATTTGTGTTAGGTTTTATTGAGTAGGCGGAAAAGCCGATAGAGTAATCTCAAGATGAGGAGGGGGGGGGGGGGGGGAGCAGGAGCAACTCCACGTACACCTCTGCTCTGAGCAAAAATAGCCAAGGTGGGCTGTTCACCCAATACGAAAGGAACTGCTAATAGTTCCAGCGACGGTGCGGATCCTATTATATTATATTATATTATAGAAGGAACAGTAAAACCCTGTGGGGCAGCAATGATGTTTTCGTCAGTTGATCAGGACTTTAGTTTAGTTAACGTCGGATCAGTTGGGCATATTTTTCGTTTTTGTCCGATATCCGCCGGAGCAAAATTAATTACGACGGTTTACTTTTATCAGCTTAGCAAAAATATTTTCTCCCTTTTTTTGTTGGGACTAAAGATCCAAATTTTGACATTTCTGTCCAAATGAAAGTTTTCCAAAAATTTTCCTAGAAGCAAAAATGTATGACTGCCGCAGTCGAACAGACACTCACTGGCACACGAGTACTCGAACCCAAACGATCCATTTTCTTCCCGTGTCAGGAAAAAAAGGTAAGGAATGATTCTTCGGAAGTGACAGGTGGGCATTCCAAAGAAGAAAATATTTTTCGCTTTCAAAAATACATACAAATACATACCCGGCATCCTATAAGTACCGGATCTTGGTTGTCGCAAAAAAGCACTCGGACCCCTTTCCCATCGTTAGATTTTTTTAACGCTTTGAATAATTCCTTAATTTCTATAATTTTGCGTGAAAAAACTTATTGGTAAATTGTTTTTTCTTTATCGTTTTGAAACATATTTCGATGAAAACTTGATCGAAGGAATATTATTTACTACCTACTGTAGGTATCCAGCAATGGGATTACCCAGGGATACTGTAATGCAGGTGGCCGGGAGGGGAGAGTCGGATGGCATGAGAGGACAAAAAAAAAAGGCAGGGGACGGCTGGAAATTGAACCCGGGCCTCCAGGTCGCCGATCGGGCGCACTACCGCTGCACCACCGAATCCATGAGTCAGTCGTTCCTCTCAATGTCATCCCAGACACTACAGTACCCCGAAAAAGTACCCTGGGAGTGAAAGTTTTGTATCGAAACATATCCCTTGACCTTCCCCGGGATGAAAGAGGAGGCCATGCAAGGTTTGGTTGCAATGGCTCTTGCGGGGTTCGAATGCATAAAGGAACAGACAGACAAACTTTCTTCTTTATGTATAGAGAGATGTAATGGAGCGTTGCCAGGAATAAATGAAAATTAGAAATTGCTTTGGTCCGCGCATGGCCGGCCTTAGGCATGTGCCACTTGTGCCCCCGCACAGGGCGCAAATTCACCAGGAGCTCAAAAGTGTGCAATAATGGATGCGACTTTCGGTTTTACCTCAGAAAGCGGAAATGCCTTCCGTTTTGGTGCCTCTTTGAACACAAGAGCCTTTCCTGGGGGTGGGGTGCAGGGGGGGCGCGTTTGCACAGGGCGCCAAATAGCTCGGGCCGGCCCTGCGTCCACGATGTCTTTCGTTTTCGTTCTCGTCCACTTTTAGTCAGTGCAGAGTTCCCTTTTTTTCGTTTTCGTCAGCGCGACGAAAACTGAAAGGAATTATTTTCCCCAAGAATTATTAATTTCATTTCAAGGGGTCTCGGAAACCACATATTTTTTAATGAATTAATTCAAGGTTTAGTTGATATTCTCAGCCATAAAGGTGCTAGCAACAAATCAGCCAAGAACTCAACGAAAAATCTCATAATGGGACTCTATGTGAGTTTTGAGCACTATAAAATCTGCGCCTCGGCGAATCATTCGCCGAAGATGAGACAATGTGGCTGAGAGGTTCCGAAAATCGGCGTGAGATGGAGCCGAAATGGTCGTCGTAGGGAATCACTTCCCGGATTCTACCGAAATGAGCCCCCTGTCCCTTCGACACGGTTCCCTAAGGTTTCTCGTGTAGATCACAGAGGAAGACGATAGAATTCCTTGAAACATTTCCCTGAAGATGTAACCAAGCTCTGAAATAAACCTGGAAATTCCGACCCGAAGATCTGCGGGAGGATCCTTCTACTTTCCACGATAAGCTACGCGACTTCTTCTCTCTATTTAAGACATGGAAAAGTCTCATTATGTGTAAAGCGTGCCTGACCACCTGCGGGAGGACAGATACCAAATATCTCACGTGATTCCGTTCCTGGATGCCTCAGCATTCGGAAGGGATGTTGCTTGGAATACTCTTGGCGATATGAGTGTACCTGTGTTAGGTGTCACTCCTGAGAGAGATGAAGTAGCAGTAGGGAACCAAAGGATGCATTCTTATCTCTAAAAGATGCATAATGCTGTAGGTGCAATATATGTTTTTTTTCATATATCTTTTCACCATTGTGAAAATTTGGTTCATGGTTGGGGCATGTGCGGTTTCCCGACAATGAGCCCAAGGACACGCCCGACCGTAAGTCGGCTTAAACCAACCGTAAGTCAACCACATGCTAGTGATGGCCCAACTAAGGCTTATATACGCGTCGACGAAAAGCCATCGATGGCCCGATTAATAATTTTTGTTTGGCCAGCATTCGTTTCGGTTTTAATCAGCAGATCCCTTTGTAACACATTGAATTTTAAAAAAGTTCACAGGAGCTTCCTATCACCGACAAAGAAGTTGAAAATTTTCCATTCGTGAAAGGCATCAGTCTTTCGATGAAAAAAATAATGGTGCATTACAACTGGAAGTGGCTCAGGCTGGAAACTTTTCGAACGCCCCTCGTAGCTTATGCATTTGGAAACTCCAGCTGTTGCGACCGTCCCACTTACGTAAAAATGACCGCAAAGCAAACCTTTCCCTCTAATTCGATGGATCATTATCTCGATCCCATGCAAGGTCATTCGGGACGAGCGTCTCGATGTTAACTCCTCGATCGACGAGAAGTCGAGCTCGTGCCACCGTCCAGAACGATTGGAACATGGGTATGATCGCAGTCGACCTAATATGGAATTGGAGCAGCCTGGGAATCCTCGAGACGTCCTTCCCGTT